CCCAACAGAATTAAAAAGGAAGTTTTTGTTTATTTGGCCAGTTTCCTTAATAATAAATGTTTATTTCGAATTTTACAAATTCTGGTTAAAGACAATCTTTGCAACCAATCAGTTAGCAAAAACATCTTCAAAAAATTTATATATAAACAGAAACAAACACTCTTTCCACACACACACAAAAAAAAAAACGTTTTTGGCTTCCTTCTCTCCTTCTTGCGTTTTGTTACTTTTGACAATCTTATGGATTACTTTCTAGGAACTGCGGCAATATTATGTCAATCATGTCAACGTAGAACAGCCTCGATCCATTGTCTTACCGAAAACGCAATCTTCTGCCTCTCATGTGACTACTTTTTGCATTCTCATGCAAACATAGAAGGCCACGTACGTAACCAACTGTGCGATGATTGCATGAACAACTCAGCTACAATCAGCTGCTCTATCCACCGGACCATTCTTTGTCAACCTTGTTACTCACTCCGTTACAATTGCGCCACCTACGGCCATCAAATTCAAATCTTGCAGCAGCATGTGCATGCTCCTCAAGAACAGCAGCAAGTGAATGTTCCTCAACAACAGCATAACTATGGTGGTGATCAGAGAAGAGAAGGGATGTTTGAGTTCAGCTGCAACGGGGATAACAGTTGCGAGAGATGGATGCTTGCAATGAACTGTGAAGCATGCTTAGCTTCAAACGCTGTCGTTTACTGTGCGGAACACGACCAGGTTCTGTGCAGCAATTGCGACCTAATGATTCATTACAGTGATGACGTCGTGCCTCCGCATATGAGGAGTGTTCTTTGCGTGACCTGCAAGAGAGTCTCTCGGAGTTTTCGCATTGGAGGCCATCTTTTCAATTTACCACCACCAATTCCTCCGGCGGCGCCAGATGAGGTCTCGGCGTCGGTGACCACAGGGCCGTATTTACCTTAATTTTTTATTTTATTTATGTTTTTGTGACCTTCCTTTTTAGGGTTTCTTGAACTTTCTGATTTTGGATTTCATACAAAAAATTTTAAAAAATAAACTATCTTTTGGATTGAAAATGTTGAAAAAAATGTCACAACTAACTCCAACTTGTTCGGGAATGGAAAACATACATATCTTATACATAATTACCAAAAATATATCTGAAAAAAAAGAACATCAAAATTGAGAATACCAAAACGATTGATATGATATTTTAGGTTTTTGTTTTCAGGAATTGAATTTCCCTTTACCGATTTGGTGATATGATGGTTATTCGATATATAAGTTAAGAAATTTCTATTTTTAATAAGTCAATCGAAGATGAAGTATATAACTAGTGTAAGGGCAAATCGGTGAATACAAGAATATGTTATAACGGTACCAACGAACTAAAGAGTCGTTTATATTAATAACTTCTCTTCCAAGAAACACTATCTTCTCCATAATTTACATCTTCCTTCTCGTTTGTTTCTTGTTTCTCTCGCTTCATCATCACTTCTTCTGCAAATATTTCTTCTTCTACGAGATCTCAGTTTCGTTCGCATATCTGAGGAAGAGAAGAATCAATGACGATGATTTATCCACCGGTGGATGAAACCGTCGCATGTTATCTGAAGATGATGATCGATAACAACGGAACCGATTGGCCTAGCCACTTCCTCCGAAGCGAAGACGTCTACTGCGTGAATCCACTGACGCATTTCAAGACTCGAGAGCCTTTGATCTTACACGACGGACGGTCCTTGTTCGTTAACCGGACGGACGGTTCTGGTAAAACCGATGGATGTGAATTTGGTTGCTGGAGAGTCATGGGTCGTGATAAGCTAATCAAGTCGGAGAAGAACAAGAAGATTCTAGGGTTCAAGAAGGTTTTCAAGTTCTGCGAGAAGGAGGAACCAAGATCGGTTTTTGGGTTTTGGGAAAAGGAGAAGAGACGAGTGAGAGATAAGAGGGTTTGGGTGATGGAAGAGTATAGGCTTGCGAGTAAGTGGAAACAAGATTACGTGATCTGCAAGATTCGGTTTCTCAATCCAAATCCATTGGAGTTCTTGTTAGCCAACCATATCCGAGGTTACTATATATGATCGTGGATTCAAGATTCGATGTTATGTGTTTCTTGAATTTATTTAAAGAACACGCATATTCAAGATTCTATTTTGTTTCCGAAATTGTAACTTTCAAGGTTCATGATTCTCTATTCAATAAAACGTTAGATGTTTATGGTGTTTGATCGGTGCATATGATCATGAAACTAGATGATTGTATAACAAAAGTCAAAAGGATACATAAATTTACTCAAATTTTTTTTCTTTTCTTCTTCTCATTATCATTCATGTAAATTTAATTTTACTGATGATATCAGTTGGATTTAAACATCATCTACAATATTTTATTTAAAACGACTAAAGTATACACTAAATTTTCAAATTCTAAAGTCAAGCACTTATAATGAGACAACTAATATAGAAAATGGTTCATGCATGAGAGAATATATTAAAGAATGAAGGCAGTAAAAAAAAAAAAAAAAAAAAAAAAACAAAGATTAGAGAATAAAGATAAAATTCCATGATTCAACAATTGTAGTTTGAATTTTTTTATGTTAATTGAAATGATTTTCAAAAACTCTCTATAAATTAAAAAAGATTTCAAATAGTGTTCGAATACAAACCTAAACCGAAATTAGAAAAAAATCGGTCAGAAACATTAAATACTTAAATCCAAAAATAAAATAAATCCAATCACAGATAGGCGCATATAGGCATATAGCCGTCGTGACAGCCGCCGGATTCTAAAACTTCTGACGACGATGAGGCGTCTCGGAATCATCACTCTCACGAATTCCGCCGTCGTCACACCGTCGCTACTTTCTTCGACGGCGGCTTTCACCAGAACCCTAACCTTACCCTCGCTCCTCCGCAACCACCACCTTACTAATTCAATTCGTTTCCTCGAATCCAAAAGCCTCGTCTCATGCTTCTCTTCCTCGGCAGCTTATCTTCCTTCCCTCGACGAGTTCTCATCAACTACAGGTGATTGATTACGTTTAATTTAACGATTGTTTCGATTCCGAATTTGATGTTACATCAATGTCTAATTATCACCGATTCTCTAAGGTTCTGTGGCGAGAGATGATAAACAGAAAGTGGTCTTGAAGGGTATGAGTTATGCTTCTCTCCAAGTACGTTTTTTTTTTTCCAAAGTCTCAATCTTTTGTTCATCTAATTGGTATTCAATTGGATTACACATTGTTGAGCTTGATGATGATCCTTAATTGGAATTTTGCTACTAGTAGGAATGGGTTGAATCACATGGATTTCGTCCCGGGCAAGCTATGATGCTGTGGAAGAGACTATACAAAGACGACATATGGGCAAATGATGTTGATGAACTTGAAGGTTTTTTTGTCTCTTTTGCTTTCAGATGATTTTGTGTCTCAGCAGCAATGCTTATTGATATTCCATTCTTAATAGGTTTGAACAAAGATTTCAAGAGAATGATTAGTGAACATGCTGAGTTTGGAGCATTGTCTTTTAAAGATGTCCGTTCTGCTTCAGATGGAACTAGGAAGGTGAACAAGATCTTGTTCATATTTCATATCTTTGTGAGGCCGGTTATAGTGGGGAATCTTCTCACTGATTGATAACTCGCAGGATGTTTGCAGATTCTGTTCACGTTGAGTGATGGACTTGTGATAGAGACGGTTGTTATACCTTGTGACCGTGGCAGGACGACGGTTTGTGTTTCCAGCCAAGTTGGTTGCGCTATGAATTGCCAGTTCTGCTACACTGGCAGGTAAAGTAGATAGATTCTCTTGAGCCATGGAAGATAAAATCGAGCTTCTAATGTAGTTTATCTGCTTTTTCACAGGATGGGTTTGAAGAGAAACCTCACTGCTGCTGAGATCGTTGAGCAAGCTGTTTACGCCAGGAGGTTGCTTTCTCGTGAGTTTGGATCAATAACAAATGTCGTCTTCATGGTATGCAATGCATTAAACCTATCTGTGTCACTTTTTATCAGTTTCTTTAGTTCTCTCATCATGGAGCTGTTGGATGTGTGTGTTTTGTTAGGGTATGGGAGAGCCGTTTCACAACATTGACAATGTGATAAAAGCTGCGAACATAATGGTGGATGAGAATGGACTTCACTTTAGTCCACGCAAGGTCACAGTCTCGACCAGTGGCCTTGTTCCTCAGCTGAAGCGGTTTCTCCGTGAGTCGAATTGCGCTTTGGCGGTTAGTCTCAATGCAACAACCGATGAGGTTAGAAACTGGATCATGCCCATCAACAGGAAATACAAGTTGTCTTTGCTTCTTGAGACGCTAAGAGAAGAGCTCAGTACAAGGCACAAGTACAAAGTGTTGTTTGAGTACGTGATGCTTGCAGGAGTTAATGACAGGTAAGTTAACAAAAGCAATCACTAAGGGAGAGACCATTGTTAAAGCTCTCCATTAAGATTACGTATGCTCTCTTTAATTTGTGCAGCATGGATGATGCAAGGAGGCTAGTGGAGATAGTGAAGGGAATACCATGCAAGATCAACCTTATTCAATTCAACCCACACAGTGGCTCTAGTTTCGTACAGACGGATGAAGAGACGATGATCAAGTTCCGTAACGTTGTGGCTGAAGGAGGCTGCACCGTTTTGATGCGGTTTAGCCGAGGCAACGATCAGATGGCGGCTTGTGGGCAGCTTGGCATGCTTGGTGCGGTTCAAGCACCGGTCATGCGTGTGCCTGAGCAGTTCCGCACTGCTCTAAAGGCATCAGTTTGATTGATCTCTCAAATGTTGTACTGTACCATTGATTTGATTCAATTGTGAAAACTAATATCAAAAGAAGTTTTTTTTTGTGACATTCTCAACCAAAAATAGTTACTACAATTAGAGTGGATTACAACATCCCTAATGTTAATCCAACTTTGGCACATATATCACCTTTTACTCAACGTTTGTACAAGAAGAAACTCTAAAACTCCGTTAGAGTGGTGAACAATGTCTTCTCTTCTGCTCTATACAGGTTTGGTCCTTCTGGTCATTGTTGCGATTTGTCTTCACTGCCACGGAAAAGATCAATGAGTGTGTTTCTGATCTTGATTCTCAGGGCAGATGCTTCAGCTGGTCGAAACCACTTCTTGTCGAACTGTATGAATTAAGAAGACACATACAAGAGTTTATACAAAGAGTCAAGAAAGTATGTAATTTGGTATAAAGAAGAGAGTTTGAGAGAGATAACTTACCATTCCCAAGTCTTTCCTTTTCAGCCTTTGAGGTGCTTCTTCGATGAAGCGTTTGATGAAGAAGAGAACAAACGGACCACAGTCGAACTCGTTCTTCTGCTGCGGAACCTGTTTGCACAAAGAGAATAACATAAGAGGGATTCATCTTGTGATGATGTTTCAGAGTAAGCATCATGGGACTAAGAAGGTTTAAAAGACTGACCTGTATATCAGAACCGCTAATCCTACGGGGGAGGCTTTTCCATACTTTCTCTGAGATTGGAAGATCTGAGGAGTAATCATCATCTTGATTCAGATAGTTCCATTCGTCTTTCAGAAACCTGTAACAACAAGTGGACAGAAATCTTGTGAAGTTGGTATTGTATTGAAACCATATGCATAAAAACGCCAAAGATAAGACCATACACCTACCTTTTAACATTATCAACAATTGATTTTTTCGAATGAAGTCCTAATGAATCGAGGTGAAGAATGTTTAAGTTTGATTCATCTTCCTTGTCTGGGATGCAAACTATCACCAGGCTCCAGTGGAGACTGAAACAAGGTACAAGAATCACAATGAATACATAAAAATTCTTTAGAAAACTTACGAAACCATTGACAATAAAAGCTGTAACTAGAGAGGTAAAAGGAAGAATATAACTTACTCTTCATGAATTGGGATAAATATATAAGCCTTACGGAAGAGATCAATACCCTTCCACCAACGCCTGAACTTCACAAAAAAGGCATCCTTGTCATTTCCCTAGTTTGAATGCAAGGAAAAGACACAGATAGACCATTTTCGACATAAGTAACAAGGATAAGAATGTGGATCACAAGAAAATAAGCTGCGAAATGGCAATAGAGAAATGTATTCTAAGGATCACATTGTTATAGTTGCAGCTGAGATATTTAGCTTCAGCCTTTATATGCAAATAAGACTTTAGAATATGAAAGAAACATCTAAAGAACTTAGAAATTTGCGTAACATAATGCTGCGAAAATCATTGATGCAGATTCTTAAGATAATCAGGATAGAGATAACCACCTTGTACGAAACAGCGTCACTGAGCTTCTTGTAGAAATAAGTGTTGAAGAAATGACAATCAACAGAGATTTGATTGTCTGAAGATACCTGATGCTGCAAGAACCTAGCCAAAGAAAAAACAGGACTTTTAATCACATAAAATCATGCAATGCATTCACCAAATCATACAGAAAAATCTCAAACTCCCAACAGTGCTAGTATACTATAGAAGATAACATATAAGGCAACGTAAGAAAACTACCTTATGTAGAAGTTCATCACAGGCGATGTAAGAAATTCTGTAGGCGCAAGGCACTCAAGATCTTTGAGACAAACTTGAACAAAGTGTGGATCATCCCTGGACCACCAAATGAAGTAGAGAGAAAACGTTGATATTTTGAGAGTTACAATAAGTTAGACACTAGACCAATCTTGAGATAGAGTTACCTTGTTGGGTAGCATATATCTTCCTGTAAGCTGCAGGATTCATCAAATATTAGTGTATATACAGTTGGAATTGTAAGTCAATGAGTGTAAACAGAAAACAGCTCATTTTTTACCCTTCAGGCAGCTCAACCGCTTCCTCCGCCACTGTTGAAGGCTGAGATTCTTCTTCATCCACATTGATCACTGTATTGTCTGATTTCTACAGTTTTTGGGAGAATCAGTTAGAACCAAAAATACCTTATGGCGCTTTGATCTCCGTGATTATGTACAAATATGTAACTATATGTAACACAAATGCTACTTCTCATGGCTATAATGATTATGTACAAATATGTAACTACACAGATATATGGTAACAGTAGTAAGCAAAAATACCTTATGGCGCTTTGATCTCCGTGATGGAGATTCTTCCCAAGACAACTCCCTATGAGAGAAAGAAAGAAGTTGAGAGAGATTACAATACAACTCATTCTCTTCTGTACCAAGACGGCATGTCACAACAATATAGCAGTAACCAGTAACGGTATACTTGAGAAACTAGTAGCAGAAGTAGTAGGAAAGGGAGAAAGCAAAAGGACCTAGAAGTGTCATCATCGTCGTCAACCAGAGAGTAAGAGGAAGTTTCTTTAAGCTTCTTCTTCCCAACAGTTTCCTTGGATTTATGATTCCCTACCTCTGTCAACATTCGCCACCCGCTGTTCTGCCTTGTTGCCGGCTTTTTATAATCAGCCTTGTGTTTCACACTTCCACTTCCCAAATCTTCTAGCTCTTTACAAAACGCTTTCGTTGGCTGAGTCTCCGTCTGTTTGACCACAAATAACAAAGTCACATCATGAAGTAGCAATCTAAAACCAGTTATCAAAAATGGCATAATGTAGAAAACCTCCATACTTTTGGTTTATTAAAAGCAGTAGAAAACGTCGACCGTGAGACTACTTTCGAGTCTGAACTCCTTTCTCTAGAGGTATCTCTTGAAGCTGCACCATTCCCTTGCAAAGTACCTGAGCTCGTCGAATGCATTACCTTCGAAGTTCTTTCCACATCCTGCCAAAAATGAAAAGAGTCTTGTAGCATTAGATCAAGACAAATTCTCCTCAGATAACCATCTCTATCAACACAAAGTCCCTTCATTTACATAAATTCCGAATGTTCTGTGCCTAGTAGTGTACAATGACTATGGCTTATACACACAAACGAGCTCGAATCTATCTTAGGAGATGAGTGAAACAATGTTATTGCAGTCAACAAGAGCTTGAGAAACCCCAACATTGTAACATCAATCGTCTCCATAACTAAGAGTGATCTTCTACTTATCAAACTCGGATTCTACTGAACAAAAAGCTTCTTCTTAGGATTCAAAGAGCGAGCAGAAATCAAATTCGTTGAAAACAAAGCAAACAGTGAAAGCAAGCGATTGATGAGAATGCAAACCGTTTTCGAGGGGAGTGAAGCTCTGCGTCGCTTCTCTTCTTCGAGGCTGGCGATTTTGAGGCGGATTTTCTCACCCTTGTCGGGTAAGCCCGGCCCTAATTTGACGAGGTGCGACTTGTTGCGCTCCAGCTGCTCGTTGAGTGTGTGTTCGTTTAGGGTTTTGTGGCACTCCATCTGATCGGCGGAGAAACTAGTCGACGGGTGAGTTATGGTGCTGACAATCTGCAACTCCGGAACTTCCTTTCCGCCGCCGTCGCCGTCGTCGTCGTCCATCACCGCTTCCCAATCAATCTCGAAATCTTTCTTCTCCACAGCAGAATCAACCTCTACTACTTCCTTTTTCCTCTTCGTCATCCCCAAACAGATTTCTTTCTCTTTAGGACTTTTTTTTTTCTTCTCAAACGCTCATTTTTGTTCAGAATTTCACTATCCGTTTTTCACTTTGTCAGGAATCTCTTCATTTCCAAATAACCTTTTATCTTCCTTTGTAACTTTTGGCATTTTCCCATATTTACTGGACAATGGAAAATATTTGGAAAAATGAATGGTAAGCAAACCCTAGAAAATTTAATTTTATGGTACTTTTGAAAAACAAATATTGCATCTTTTGAAAGTAGTTTTATCCTTACTATATTTTTAGGGTTTGATCATTTCTCCCGCTGTTAATATCGTACGGTACACGCAACTTTTGCGGATTGTTTTCGACCGTTTTGAACCGCTCTAAATTTTGAATCGTTATAGCAACAAATGGTATTGACAAAAAAAAAACTATTAGTGTAGGCTATTTCTTAAAAACACTCTTAAGCATATTTGTGTTCATTATACAAAATTTATTGATTTCATATAATAAAAAGAAAATGTTTTAAAAATCACAAAAATATAGTGAATTATTGAATTAGATTTAAAGATAATAATAGTGCTCTAAAATATATTTTTTTTCTTTTTATGTAAGACATTGTTTTATTTTCGGTCAACAAGATTATATTTTTGATTGAAAAGCATATTTAAAATTTTAAGGAATAAGAAAAAGAATCAAGGGAAATTCGAGTCACCAAAGAAGAAGAAAAAGAGGTTCAAAAAATTGGAAAACAAAAGTCACGTTATGTGGTAAAGCAGGACACAATGTAGCTGGATGTAAGACACACCCAAAGAAGAAGATGAGAATGGCTGAGGAAACATATATATATATATGAACAGGTTCGCTGCGGTATTTACTTCTTGCTCTTGGATTGTCTAATTATAGTTGCACTGAATTGTCTGAATTGTCTCTTGCTCTATTTCTTATTGATCTTTTGCTTTATTGCTTCTACCTACGCTTCAGGCTGCAACTTCATTTTAGGGAGCTTTAGTTTTAGCTCAAGGACCTGAAATGCTTTCAATCACCCAACCATCTCAAACGTTTGAGTGAAAGTCTAAAGTTAATGTACCCTTTTTGTGTATCTTTTAAGTACATCTAAGTATCTTTGAATGCTATTTGTTTTGGTATCTTTGAGTGTTATCTTTGCTATTTGTTTTTGTTCAAAAGCTAAACAACTCTTGCAAATGGAATTAGAATTAGCAAAAAGCATTACATAATCAATGTTATAAAGTAGTACACAATCCAACTCAACTCACATTACATTAACTAGTAGATTAGTGTTTTGCTTACCATAACATCAACTAATAACAGTAGTACACTAACTCATAACTCTTCCTTCATCTTCTCATCGACTCTCTCTTTCACCTCTGCAACAAGCCTCATATGCTCTGCTTCTACCATATCCATCTGTTAAACACACATATTACAAAGTTTCATCATCAAGTAGCCATCTCAAACCAGTTTAAAAAAATAGCAGCAAAAGTCGACCGCGAGATCTTTTTTGAGGTGTCTTTCGCTGTATTCCCTTGCAAGATACCAGAGCTCGTCGAATGCATGACCTTCGAAATTTCTTCCACATCCTGCGAAAAATGAAAGAGTCTTGTGGCATTAATATTAAGACAATTTCTCCTCAGATAATCTCTATCAACACAAAGTCCCTTCATTTACCATAACTATAGCTTATACACACATAAATGAGCTCGAATCTATCTTAGAAGATGAGAGAAAGAACGTTATTGCAGTGAACAAGAGAACTTTGTCACATCAATCCTCTCCATAACTAAGAATTAGTTATCTTCTACTTATCAAGCTCGGATTCTATTAAAAAGGCTTCTTAAGGATTCAAAGAGCGAGCAGAAATCAAATTCGTTGGAAACTAAGCAAAACGAAAATAGCAAGCAATTGAAAATGAGAAGGCAAACCGTTTTCGAGGGCAGTGAAGCTCTGCGTTGCTTCTCTTCTTCGAGGCTCGCGATTTTGCGGCGGATTTTCTCACCCTTGTCGGGTAAGCTCGGACCTAATTGCGCAAGGAGCGCTTTGTTACGCTTCAGCTGCTCGTTGAGTGTGTGCTCGGTTAGGGGTTTGTGACGCTCCATCTGCAACTCCGGCACTTTATCATCCTTTCCGCCGTCGCCGCCGATCATCACCGAGTTCCAATCAATCTCAAAATCTTTCTTCTCCGCAGAATCAACCTCTCTACTGCTTCCTTCTTCCCCTTAGTCTTTTCCAAACAGATTTCTTTCTCTTTTTCGTTTTTTTGTTTCCTCCTCAATCGCCCATTTTTTTGTTTGTTCGATTTCACTATTCGTTTTTCACTTTGCTGGGAATCTCTTCATTTCCAAATAACCTTTTTTCTTCCTTTTGTAAATTTGGGCATTTTCCCATATTTACTGGACAACGAAAATATTTGGAAAAATGAAACCCTAATTTTTTATACAAAATTTAATTTTATGGTGCTTTTGAAAAATGGATATAGCATCTTTTGAAAGTAATATTATTGTATGTCATAAACACATCATTTGAGAATGATATTAGTTGTTTGCGTTTGACAACAATTATCCAAAAAAAATTTATCGTTTCGAGCAGCTCCTCCCATTAGACAATCCTCTCATTAGACAATGGAAAGATTTGGAAAATTGAATGGTAACCAAAGAAAAAAAAATTTATGGTACTTTTGAAAAACTGATGTAACATCTTTTAAAAGTAGTTTTATTCTACAACACTTTTGGGGTTTAATTAGTTCTCCCACTATTATTATAAATGCAACTTTTGCGAGTAATCATGATTGTTGGCATTTGTTTTTGACCGTTTAGAGCCGCTCTAAATTTTGAACCGTTATAGATGTTGACAAACAAAATCTATTAAAGTACATTCTTCTTAAAAATGTACTATCAAACATATAGTATTTCTATTGTTTATAAAATTATATATATATAATTTATTGATTTTTTATTTATATAATAAAAAGAAAATTATTTTTAAAATATCACAAAAATATATTTTATTATTGAACTAGATTTAAAGATAATAATAATAGTGCTTTAAAATATATTTTGGGAGTTTTAGGTACTTTTTAATTTTTCTGTCAGCCTGTATTTTTATTTTCTGTCAATAAGATTATATTTTTGATTGAAAAGCATATATAAAGTTTAGGGAAAAAATTACAAAATACTATTTTCACTGGTTTTTGTGTAAATGAAAATTGAGTTTGAAAGAAAGAAAAATGAAAAAGTTGACACAAAAGAAAGAAAGAATCAGCCCATGTACAGAAACACGTGTAACAAGTAATCAACAAGGTAATTTGTTTTTTATTTTATTTTTTATCCCAAACAAGTTGTACTTTTGAGTTTTGAGTCTTTGACTATTGACACACAGAAAAATTTAATTGGGATTTTGATTTCTAGGGCAAAAATCCAGATTCGGTGAAGACATTACTCCATCACCTAAAGCTTCTACCCAACTCACTCCCATGGCCGACGATTCTTCCTCTCCGGCCACGGGAGATCCTAATTCCCAGAAACCGGAGGCCACTACTCCGCTTCGCAATCCCATTCCCAATCCTACTCCTTCACCAACACCACCGCCTCAACAACATTCGCAGCCGCAAGTCGCTGCTCTAGACCCAACGCAAACGCCGATCTTCCAACCTGCTCCTCCTTATGCTCCGCCTCAAATTCCGGGCTCACTTGTCCCCAATCTTCCGCCGCCACCTCCATTCCGTCCCGGTATGCAGTTCCCTCAAGCTGCGAATTTCCAAAACCCTAACTCGGGAGCTCCTCCTCCCGGCGTGAACCCCGGTGTAGGTATGGCGGGTCCAGGACCCATGCCGTATCAATCGCAGCCTGGACAGCTTCCGAATCCGCCGGGTATGAGACCTTTCCCACCTATGGCTAATGGTTTCCCCGGAATTCATGGTGTTGGTCCTCCAGGTTCCATGCCTCCTACGGGTGGGTTCTTCTACCTTTCTCTACCATTATCTCTTGTTTAATTCTCTCAAGTCTTACTTTTTAGTTCCTCCATCCTCGCTTCTGATGCACTTTAGGCTGTAGAATTGTTATTTCGTGGCCTTTGCTTTGTGTGTGTTGAATGTTAGTGAACTGTTTGTTTAGATGAGATTAACGATTTAGGTAGAAAAAGTTTAATTGAAAGAGAAAATTAGGGAGAAAAACTAGATCAGGGACACCGATGACCGGGTGTTTTCTCCTACACAGCGTCTTGATTGAGTTCCATGAGAAAGGTTGCGAGGCATCAAATATTGAGTAGGGACTCACTTCTACGACTCCCTCATTTTGGTATGCGCAAATTCGCTTTTTTTCCTCTCCTTCTTTCTGTTTGGTTAGTGTAGCTCTTTCGAAGATAGCATTGCTAACACATTATAACCAAAACCACGGACCTGAAAGTTGAAATTTTCTTAAATTGAGATTTACTGTAGTTTTTAAGAACTTTGAACTTGATGGCTTAGCCAACTTCCGGAAGCAAGCATTTGTAGCCACTGAGTGCTCCTTGGTCTTGGCTTTGGTTTTGAGGTATTGCATTTTCTTTCAAATTACACCATCCACATGTTTCTCTTTCTGTATCCATCCTATGTGGGCATGAGATGATATGATGGGCGTTTCAGTATTTTCCAATCTCAAATCCAATGTCTGCAAGATGGTTATAGATTCTTATTTTCAAGTTGCTTTATGAGGTACGACCACTTAATGTGGTGATAATGACTATGATACTAGTGTTATCTTCTGAATGTGTCCCTCAGGTTCTCTGTTCAGCCGGGTGGTATTTGTACTGCCTCTGATGTGCATGTCTAATTTGCTCTAGTTTGTGGTAACGATACAATATAAGAATTTTCATTTCCGCTTTCATGACACTCTTGTTTTATATGCCACTGCAGCTTTTTGAGGATATTAAGATGTAAACAGTTACTGATGAATTTCCAGAGACTTGTTTTTCTTTGTTTATGCAGGGCTTCTCCGGTATCCTTCTCCATATCCAACAATGGTTCGTCCTGGTTTTATTATGCGCCCGCCTGGCACAGTTGGTCCTGTTCAACTGGTACCACGTCCTCTTCCAGGAATGCCTGGTCTCCGACCCGTAATGCCTCCAATGGTTAGACCGCCTTCTATTCCTTTTGTAACACCACCAGAGAAACCTCAGACCACAATTTACATTGGCAAGATAGCAACCGTGGAAAATGACTTTATGATGTCTATTCTCGAGGTTTGTTTTCTTCTTTCAGTCTGCATCTTTCCCTCCTACTGCTTTTTAGGTTGTTTATGTTGACTAATAGGCAGTAGCTTCCATTTTTTGTTTTACTTTTCAAAGAATTGATCTTGACATTCCTTTTGCAGTTTTGTGGCCATGTCAAAAACTGTTTACGTGCAGAAGATCCCACCACCAAGAAACCTAAAGGTTTTGGATTCTATGAATTTGAAACAGCTGAAGGGATTCTCCGTGCAATACGCCTGCTTACCAAACGTACAATTGATGGACAAGAGCTTTTGGTAATCCTGAATCTCTCTACTCAGTATTCAAAATATGTTATTGTTTCTCTGGGCAGACGCAGTTCTGTATGTCAATCAATATCTATACAAGGGTCTCTTAACATGCTCATATTTTTCTTTATATGGTCGGTAGGTGAATGTTAATCAAGCAACAAAGGAGTATTTGCTAAAGTATGTTGAGAAGAAAATGGAGGATGCAAAGAAAGCCAAGGAAAGTCAATCTGTAGGAACCGAAGATAACAAAGCTGAGATTTCTGCTATGCCAACCTCAGGGGAGACGGGGAAGGATGGAGAATTAAAGAGTAGAGAAAACATTGATATTGCAAATTCTGCGGTCCTAACTGATGAAGAAAGAGAAGCGGACAAAGAGGCTATGGAGAAGATTGAAAGTGCTATTGAAGAAAGGGTAAAGACCAACCCTCTGCCTCCACCACCCCCACCTCCACCTGCTGATAGTTCAGGCATTGAACTTGCTTTCAAACCCAAGGATGGAGACTCCAACACTGACATAACTAGGAGTGGTCTGTTTCTGCCTCCACTTTATCTTTTTTTTCTTTCTTTCAAAATCAAATATTTGGCTGCCATTTTCTGTATTATCTGATAAGATGTCTCGTTCATGTAGATTCCGCTGCAAATGATGTTGAGACTCCTGGAGAAAACAATAGGCCTGACACAAGTTCACCTGATTGGAGTAAGAGAAATGACCGAAGAAGCAGAGACAGGGGTGAAAAGGAGCAAGAAATGGACAGATACGAGAAGGAGGCTGAACGAGAACGATTAAGGAAAGAGAGAGAGCACAGGAGGAAAATTGAGGATGCAGAGCGTGCTTACCAGACTCGTCTTCGACAATGGGAAAGGAAAGAAAGAGAAAAGGAGAAGGAACGACAGTACGAGAAGGAGAGGGAGAAAGAAAAAGAGCGTAAAAGGAAGAAAGAAATCCGATACGAGGAAGAAGAGGATGAAGACGATGATGATTCAAGAAGAAGATGGCATAGGGGTGCAGATGAAAGAAGAAGACGGAGGCTAAGAGAGAAGGAGGATGACTTGGCTGATAGATTGAAAGAAGAGGAAGAGGTTGCTGAGGCAAAGAGAAACGCTGAGGAGCAAAAGATGCAGCAACAGCAATTAGATGCCTTAAGACTCTTATCTGGACATGCAGCTATTAATAGTGAACCAGTTCAAACATCACCTGTTGAAAGCGATCATAAGGCAGCTCTTCAGACTGCCGTTAAATCTCCCCATGAGCACCATGAAGCTGGTAAGGAGTTTATTTCCTCTCTGTCATATCCCTCGTTATCTGTCTTTCACGTTCTTCTCTGCCTCTTTCTTTCTATTTCTAATCGCTCCCTTTTGCCAAATGCAGATTTTGAAGAGAATGGCTCTGGTAATGATATGGCTATTGATAATAATGACTCAGAGGCTCAGTGCCCTTCCAAGAAATTGGGATTTGGGCTTGTGGGATCCGGAAAGCGGACGAATGTGCCTTCTGTTTTCTACGAGGAGGATGAAGACGAAGCGCATAAGGATAAAAAGATGAAACCTTTGGTTCCTATAGATTACACAACCGAGGAACAGGAGGCTGTGGCTCAAGGTGGCTCAGGGAACACACCACCTCATTTGGCATTAGCAGCTGAATTTGCGAAACGACTTTCGAGTAATAATCCCAAGGAAGAGACCACAGAGAACGAAAGACATAGGAGCAGCAGACGTTCTCATGAGAAGACAACACACCGGGACAGGGATAGGGACAGGGAAAGAGAAAGGGACAGAGACAGAGGCAGGGACCGAAGTGACGGGCACAGTGGTCCAACCAAAGACGCTAAAGAGCCTGTAAAAGCAAAGACTCCTGATACCAAGAAGCTTATGGATGCGAAACAATTGATAGATACAATCCCAAAGACAAAGGAAGAGTTGTTTTCTTATGAGATAAACTGGGCTATGTATGACAAGGTAAGCTACTCAGAAACCTCATTCTCTCATTCAACTTTTATTGTTGTCATGCATGTGAGTTTTGTTTCGTTGCTCACTTGTTTCGTCTTTTTGAACAGCACCAAGTGCACGTGAAACTGAGGCCATGGATCTCAAAGAAGATCATGGAGTTTCTTGGAGAAGAGGAAGCAACACTGGTAGATTTCATAGTGTCAAACACTCAACAGCACGTGAAAGCTTCTCAGATGCTTGAGCTATTGCAGTCGATACTAGACGAAGAAGCTGAGATGTTTGTGCTCAAGATGTGGAGAATGCTCATCTTTGAGATCAAGCGTGCGGAAGCTGAAGCCTCGGTAAAATCTAAAGCCTGAAACTTTTTATTCAAAGAGTTTTCTTCCTTTGTTGACTAGTGTACCAATTTTTTTGTCGAAGTCTTATTTGTCTTTGGATTTGAAAAAAGAATCACTGTGTTTTTACAAGCTTAATGCAAAAGAGATTGAAATGAAAATAATTACTATATATATACACATTCTAGTTTTCACAGAATATCATTTCAAGCTTTGTATTAGTTCCTTTTGTTTTACAAAATGAGTTTATATCATGTCTCTGTATTTCCAATCTTGTTCACTGAGTACATAAAATTGAAAATAAATTATTTTTATTTGCAAAAGCATTTGATTTATGAATATAGAAGTGTTGATCTGTACATTGGTCCATTTACTTTAGCAAAGAGTACAATGATGATTCTAATCAATAAAAGATATTTTGTGCTATAAATGTTCTTCATTTATTTCCAGAAAATCAAGTACTTATAATACAAGTACACATTGATATTGCACACAGCTTCTCTCTCAAAACCAGAAACTGATTACAATAGTATTAGCTCTTTAGAGCTAGTATTTACAAATCGAAGTAAAATATATAGTACATATAAACAATTTATCATCTGTAACCTATAAAAAATGAAGTTAATTTTAGTAAATGACTCTTTGATTAAAAAGCTCAAAGAGTTGCTGTATAAATCACCAGGCGTGGACGAACCGTTCTCTTTCAAAAGCCGGTTCAACCGTACCGGTTTTCTTCTCCTGGAACTCGTGGATCAATTTAATTAGAGCACTTGCCTTTTTCCCACTTCCACAGTCGCCGTTACTTAACACCGTGTAAAGCGACCCCATAATCGAGGGATCTTTAGCGAGAGCCCCAACGACGTCATTTCCGCCGTTTATGCACAGATTCAGAAGCAAAACGACACAGTGTTGCTTCGTAGCAGACGACACCTCCGGCGAACCTAGAATCTTCACCGTGAGTTTCAATCCTCCACGACGGAGCACGGAGATCATCCCGTCGGGATACTCCGCCATTTTCGCGAGAATCGCCATCGAATCCCCCGTGACTCCGTCGCTAACCCCGTCGGATTTCACGAGCTCCAGAAGAACGGGAACAGCTCCGGCGGCGAGAACACGCCAGTGGTTATCGGATTGCTGGATCAGCAAACTCCGAATCGCGATCAACGCGTTACGTTTCGCCGAATCTCCGTAATCGCAACCTCTAACGATTCTCACCAATCCTGGAATCGCGTCTGGGATTTCTCCGATCAATCGGCTGTAATCTCCGAGAGAAGAGAGATAAAATATCGCAGCCGCTGCGTATTGTCTACTCTCTCTTCTAACTCCATCGTTGAGAACCTCCACGATAACCTCCAATCCGCTACCGTCGCCGACGATTCGAGTTTTCCCGGCGACATCCTTCGACAGATTCAAAATCCCAGCCATGGCGTTCTCCTGAATCGTCGGATCTCCAGAACGGAGAATCTTCATCAGCGATTCAACAACACCAGCTTCCACCAAACAAGATCTGTTAAAACCGCTCGTTTTGGTGAGCACTCGAATCTCTACTAACGCCTTAACCATCTCTTCTTCATCTCCGTCGATCAATTCTCCGGCGAGAAACTCCGCCGTGAGCTTCCCAGCTTCTTCCGCCGCTAAACTCTCCGGCACAATCGACTTCTTCTTATTCTTATTCTTCTTCCTCCTCACTACGCCGTTTTGCTTGCAGTAACTCTGAATCACTTGCTTGACGGAGAAGTTATCAACCAAAGCAGTACTCGCCAGACTCTTCCCGGTCTTAGGGCACGTGATGTTACCGGAGGAGAACCACTTGGTGATTGAGCTCCGATCATACGTGTGCCCTGTTTCCAAAACCACCGGATCGTTCATAATCTCTAGAGAAATCGGACAACGAAGATCATCAACGTTTAAACCCCAATTCAAATAATCTTCTTCGTCTCTCTCATCTTCGTCTTCTTCATCAATCCCTCGAAGAACCACGCATCTGCAGTAGGTTACGAATCCCATTAAGCTGCTAAGAAGCTCGATTTCTTTCTTATCCTTCTTCTTATTCTCGGCGGAGGTAATCTCTTCTTCGATAAAATCAATCTCTTTGACGCAATCTCTCCATTTTCGAACACCAATGTGATCCAAAACTCGGAGAATCTCATCCGAGTTCGGGTTAATCCTGTTCTCGAACAGATTCAAGATCCAATAGACCGAGTCGATAACCCGTTTGTCATCCGGGTCGGGTCTTCCTTCGGAGTTACGAGTCTGACGGATTAGTAGATAGATTAGCTCGTTGACTTCTCCGGATAAGTCAACAGACCTGACCGGAAACGTGTCGAGGCAAGTGGATATGGATCGGGTCAAGACCCGGAAATGAGCTGAGACTTGGTCGGAGTTTATCAACGTATATAGCTTAGCTCCTTCTCGTGTACAGTCTTCTAGAAGGAACTTGAGTTTCTGGAAGATGACGTGGAGCTCCGAGAGGCTCAAGATTGCTGCGCGCGGGAAGTAACGACCCGTTGGTATTGACCCGACCCGGATTTCCTCCAAGAGGATCACGAGGTTTTGGATATGTCGGAGAGTTTCTTTGACGGTTTGTTTGTTGGTGGAGAAGTGTTTCGCTTTGAAGGTGAGAATCTGGCCGGCGAGTTGTAGCAATGAGTCGAGGAGAGTGGTGATGGAGATGGATTCACACGGATTCACCGCCGGAAAAGTGAGAATCCGGCGAGTCGACCCGTTTTGTGTATGGATCATAGTGTGTTAAGTTTGAAATAGATAAGGAAGATATTTTTCCAAGTGTTTTTGAGGTTTGTGTTTTGTGAGGATATATACACTTCGTGTGCTTTTTAACTTTCTACAGATCTGCGACACGTGAGAGGTTACGATACGTTGATAAATTTTGGGGTCTGTAAAATCGCCACGTGGTTTACCGTGTGTGTATGGGACCTACTTATTATATGAGTCATGAAGATGCGTGCATGGTAATGGGAGGTAGCCGACAATTTAGTGAATTGACCCTTCTGATATTTTTTCCTCGTTCCAATTATTTTATTCGTTTTCTTAATTCTGTTTTTAGTTTAGATAAACATGAATTTCGATTGACTGTTTGATCCAATGATATGTATTTGACTTTATTAATTTGGAAAGACGACCTGGAGGATGTTTATTGGATAAGCAATTATTTCAGGTTTTTATCGACTTTTTAAGCAATTAAGATTCTTATATTATTATTCTTGAAGGACTATTTTAAGAGTTTTTTGATACACACAATCTATCTAGTCTGTTTAACAAAATAGTATATAGTTTCATTCTATTGTGAAAGGTTTTTTCTACTAAATCAGTGATTGTGTTAAGACTTAAGACCGTAGTTGAAATGAATCTAGCTAAATTGTGCCTCATCACTTTACTATGGTTCCTTTGTGATTGATACAATTGTTTATTGGTTTTGGAACCTGCGTCGAAGAAGGATATCTTCAGGACACGAGACTGTACTTAAAGAGTTGTCTCTTCTGAGTATTATTTTATTTTGCAGACAGAGCTTCACGAAACATTGGACGGTGCGAATTGTCTCATAGAAAAATCAAACATGTAACTTAGACGAACCATCTCGATATACTTTTATAATCGTTAGGGAACTTTCATTTTCATCAACAGTCGAAAACTTAAAATATATATTCCCAAGCCAAAACAGAAAACGTACCAAACCAAACCATTTTAAAATTCAGATTCTTCTAAACCAAGAGCAAAAACCGAAGCACCGTATCATCAAATCTTCTTTGAGGGTTTGGTGAGCTTTGAGAAGGTTCCTGACTCGGAGAAGTAAGTGCTCTGAGTCCCACTGCCTAGTCCTAGAGCCTGCTGAGGATTGCACAGCTCTATTCCCTGTCAAAACAACAGATACCAATCAGAACGCAACGCAAAAAAAGAACACGAAAAGACGAAACTTTGGACGATTCAATGTATGTACCTGAACAGGAGTAAACGCAAGGCTTGACGTCAAACCAGAGGTAGTAGCACCACCTGTATACTGTCTTTCTTTGAGCCTGAACAAAGCCATTGACGAACACAATCACAATGAGAAGATATAATGGAAGAACAACACAGGATCATCAATCGATTAGTCGAAGAAAAACTTACTTTTTAGCGACCTTCGCATTGATCTTCAGCTTGCTTGGAACACTGGACACACGAAGCCTGTTGCTCCCAGCTTGACCAAGCATTCCATATCCTTCACCTAATCCATCACCTACACACCATGAAAACCAATCATTAGACTTCAAGTACCTTTAGCTATTAACAACTATAGATGTAACAAGATCTTTGTTTACCTAGAGAGCTCTCTTCAGGTGTACCAAACGCCATCCTGTTGGCAAGCTTCCTCATGTCCGTCACTGCATACCTTTCTTTCATTTTCCTTAGACGGCGACCACCTCTTCTCTTCTTAGGCTCGGAATCAGGAACGGGAAGTGGCTTAGGTTGTCTTGCGGGAGGAGGTTCTTGCCACTTCTCAATCTTCTTACGTATCAGCTCCCTTAAAGCTTTTCCTTCTGCTCCCGCTGGATCTCCTCTAGACGCATCGACTCTCGCAGCTAAAGCCGATTTCGCAGCCAAGAGCCTACTAGCTCTCGTTCGAAACGCAGGAGGAGTGCTCTGGAAAATCTCAGTCTGCTCTAGATACCCGACACGTGACTGCGTCGTTGCGCTAGAGAAACCAGCAAGATTCTTCTTCTTGTGTCCAAGAACTTGGATGTTACAAGCAGGCATCTTAGCGAGCGCTGACAAACCTCCAGCTGTACCCATGAGCTTGGCTGCAACAGCGCTTCCAACAATGGTGGAAAGATTCGGCGCTATAGATCCCATCTTGCTTTCAACAAAGTCAAGAACTTTCTTCCTCGCGGAATCAAGATCCAGAGCTCGGTCACAAGCCTCTAAAGTCTTTTGAAGAACGTCCTCCGGCAGAGGGTTCCCTTTCGTGGTCAAAGCAGTGACTGAAACAACCATGATAATAGCAGATGGAAGAAGCTCTCCGAGATCAACAAGTGTTAAATCCGTCTCGTTGCCGATTTTCTTCACAACGCGGGCGTAATCGATCGGGTGGTTTACCAGCGATTCGAGCTCTTGGAACTTGAGCTTGTACTTGTCACGGATGAAGTTGTGGACTATGACGATCTCGTTCTCAATGTCGACTGAGAGCTGGTTGCAATCCACGATCAGCTTGTACTCAGGATCATCTTCTAACACAGCTCCTTTCTCTGCTCCATCAGAATCTTTCCCAAGAGCCTCCTCCACTTTCTGATAATGCAAAAGGACATAGACTCAGATCAAAGAATGCAAGAAACACTAGTCCAATAAGTGAACAAAGAAGACTCGAGACTTAACTCATTGAAACCATGCTAATGTGATATATGACTTAACTCAGCTGCCATCGAATCACTATGTGAATAAGCTTTGGTACAATATCATCGAATTTGATGATTATAAACGAAATGCTAGACAAAAAAGGTGGAAAATTTTGACAGACCTGCATTATATCGGCATATCTCTGAGATTTCTGTAGCTTAGAAACGTTGTCGAGATCATCATAGTTAAGGGTCTCTAAGTCTGCCATGTCCATGTCAATATCATCTTCCTCTTTTCCAGTCTCACCATCCATCTCATCCTGAATATATAGATAATCGAAACAAACTACAATTAAAACCAATAGCTCCTCCAAGTAAATATTATGACTGAGGTACTACATAAGGCACACTCACCAATTCTGCTTCATTGTCAGATAAATCATCAAGGTCTGCGAGGAAAGAGTCTTCAAGAGTTGCCTGCAAAAGGATCCAAAAATATTTAGTAAGCCGATAGAACAAAAAAAAAAAAAAAAAAAAAAAAAATCATGAATAGTCCTCAAAGCAAAGGAAATAAGAAAACAATATTTAGCATTTGAGAAACCCTAAAACTGAAATTGAACATTCACAATCGAATAGATAAATCAAATCAACAAAACAATATACATGTCGATAATATTAAAAGTTGTAACGTCAATAACAGCCACCGGCGGATCGAAAATCAACAGAAGATTCGTAATCGAGAGAATTTTAGCGAATGATCAATAGAGAAGTTTAACTGTTGAAGAAAACCGCAGTTAAGGAAGCGAGAGCAGAGGATCTGTGAGGAAGAAGAAGCAATCGCTAGGAAACTGAAACAATGGAGGTTGGTGAAACGCTTACCATATCTTCTACTTGGAACGCAAAAAGCTCACTGATTCTCCTGCGGATTAAACGGAAAGAAAATTCTTAATTCAGAAACCCTAAATTCCCAGAACGCTCGGAACAGAGATCAAATCCAGGGGAGAAATCAAACAGGAGGAAAACCCAGATTGGAGAAGAAATTGAAGACGGAGAAGCCACGAATTTTTTCCCTTTGGAAATATTTGTTTCTTTTGAGTAAAAAAGTTTCAAAGTCGGCAGTAATAGTTGGGCCTATTTAGATGGGCCTTTCTCGTACCTAACTTACTAAGTTTCTCTTGAATCCTGACAAGGATTTGGTTCGGTTTACTAGTGTAATCTCAATCTCACACGGTTTTCTCTTAACCAATCTCACTCTACTAAATGCAAAGTGTAAACGCATGATCATTTTGTTTGGCGTGGTATATATTTTCTCTTTGCCTTTTCACTCCCTTACTTTGCTTTCCTTCTGAAAAGGCCTGTTGACTTAATAAAATAACATCTAACACCATTTTCTTGTCCTTACCGAAAAAAAAAATGGGTTTTTTTTGAAAAAATGTGTTGTGATTTCTAATTTAGATGTCGTTACAGATAATGTTATTTTGTGGTGTCGATTAATTATTTAAAAAAACTTACAAGGATAAGTTGAGGATTAAAATTAAAAGTGCACAATGTTTATTTTATTTAACGTAAAAGGAAAAACTTGTGTTGTCTCAGATCCCAAGTAAATCGCAGTCACGAGACGGTGTCGTCTTGAAGAAAATGACGAAACCGACGTCGTTGGGAGGGTAATATAAAAGGGACAGAGAGCTTTGGCAAGGGTTTCTATAATCGAGAACTTCCCGTGGCGATTTGCGACTGTCACTACCACTGTGTTGTTGTCGTTCTCAGTCCCCGGGTAACTGTTTCGACTTGCTGATTTTGTTTCTAAGTAGGAATTCGTTTAGCTTAGATTTGGTTTCTCTTCGGATTCTGCTTCGACTGTGGCATTTCCCTAGCACAAAATGATGATCTTTTAGCTACGTTTTAGGTTCTTACTTTTTCTTTGCTGAAATGTTGCTTTATATCTCTTCTCCTGCTTGATTCTGATGGTTGTCTGACCTAATTAGGAAGCAACACTCTAGATAATCTCTTGAAGAGACATCTTTTCTTTTGGGTTCTGAAAAAAAAATGGTTCCTTTTGATTAAGCGAATCAAAAGGAACCATTTTTTTCAGAAACCCATTTTTCTTAGAGGCATTACCGAAAGAAAAGAAGACTCTTCAAGATGGCTCCTTTTGATTTGCTTTACATTCAGAATGGTTCCTTTTGATTCCTTGTGATGGTTACTTGTGGATCCTTTTGATGGTTCCTTTTGATGGCATGAAAAAAATGGTTCCTTTTGATTCGCTTTACATTCAGAATCTGTGATGAAACAATAATTTCATATTTGCGCAGGGATATAAGTGATTGAAGATGGCTTTTCATGGACCAAGCTCAGATTGTCATCCAAATTGCCTACGAGCAATGAATGCACAAGAAGATTACGGTAACTAAATCACTCTAGTATCTTGAAATTTACTCTCTTTGCGTCATTAGAAGATAGAATGAATTGACTATACACATGCAGTGGGGTTTGTTTTTGGTCTTGCAGATGCATCTCAAAGAGCAGCGATGTTGGCGGTTGATCTAATCAGCTCAGCTCGGGTGATCTTCAAGGTGGACAGAGAGTACACTGCCTACTCAGCGCAGTATCTGGTTGACAACGCTGGTCCCAAGAAGGAAACCGCCGGGCAGGGAGAGTGGGAACAAGGACGCGGGGTCACGATGAATGACCTGGTTGAGTACTTGAGAGACATTGCTATTCCCAAAGAAACGGATCAAGAACGCCCCGAGCTAACTGTCAAGGACTGCCTCGAGTGTGCATTCAGAGATGGGTTACCGAAAGCAGAGCATTGGGGACACCTGGGATGTGTCTCCAAGGTCCCTCCTTTCGCTTCTCTCATACCTCGCGTCCCCATGAAAGGAAAAGTGCTTGAGGCTGAGAAATGGGGAAGAGGAGGAGCTGCCTTGTTGAGGAAGCAACCGGTGGGAGCTAAACTGCACGTGTTCAGTCCGGAGATTGATCTCGTTGATGAAGTAAGAGTTGGCTGCTAATCTCTTTATTTTTTTTGGAATTTTCAGATATCTAATGTTTGATTGTGTGGGCAGGGAGTGGGATTCTACGATGGCCCGGCAGGTCGTGGATCGACCTACGTGGGACTCAGGGATGTGATGATCACTGGATTTGGGAGAAGGAAGGGAAAGAAGTTTGCGGAACTGAGGATCTGCTACAAGAAGAAGTCTAAGTTCATCAAAGTGTCTCTAGAGCGTGTTCTTACCTCACTTCCACGTGATGGAGAGGAGCCTCAGGTCATAGAGCCAACGGGTCTGCTTGTTGACTTCATTGTCCCACGCTTCTCCAAGAAAAGGAGAGCTTAATAGTTTCTTCGTAAGTATCTAGATAACAACAATGTGTTTGTTGTACTTCTGTAATAAGAATGACTTATTAGACTTTGTTTTGTGTGTGTGTGTGTTAAGAAGCTAAGTATCATGAAACCGTTTGTAGTCTTATTCTAGGAAACTTTTATCTATGATCTCTTTTGCTTCACCCTTTTTCCCATTGATCCCAAATCTACAAGGCCAAGTAAACAACATTGTCTTTTTTTTTTTTTTTTCAAAGTAAACAACATTGTCTTACTCCTCTGTTTTTACTAGTAAACTTTCAGTTTTTCATAAATAAATGGTGTTCAAACAAATCAATTTTGAAAATTAGTTGTATTTGCTCTGTTCCGGATTCTGTTCTTAGATACAGATTGTATTTGACTGAAGCCCATTAAGGACCCACCAATAGAACACTCGAATCGATTCTGTTGTTATAAAGTCCATTAAAGACCCAATTATACAATAATCTCGCGCACATAACCGAATTTTGAACCTCAACACAATGGTGAGTCGGTGACATTACACAAATGAAGCCGTTAAGAACAATTAAGCCCCATTTAAATACTCTCTAAGCCCTATCGATCCTCACAGATTTTTTGAATTTTTCCCCCAAATCTCAGATCTCTTCTTCTCCATCACGATCGACCGTTTTCACGAATTCAAGCCGTTACCATCAATCTTTCGTGATCGGACCCGGTTTCGTCGCGCGTGGTGATAAGACTTCGCCGGAAAGCTTCAAAATGAGATCGCCGTGTGTCATATGATTACGAGAGGGCCGTATCGGAAAGTCACCAGACTCTAATTAGCCGTGAACGAGTCGGAAACCTCCTTTCATCGAAAACCATAGAACGATTATGTTTGGGAAAAAAAAACTGATTCTGAAATTCGATTTTAATTTGGATTTAATTACTCTCTTCCTGTTTGAATGGGGATCGATTTTGGATCGAAACTGCGATTTGATTGGTGATATTAGATTGTGGAAATCGAGACTCTGAGATTTATGCGCTTTCATCGTTATCTTTAATGGTCAATCTTTTGTTTGAGATATTGTATTTTGGCTGTAAAAATCTACTCGTGAAAATCACATTTGATAATTATTGAAATTAAAGTGCCACTCTGTTTCCTCCTTGGCCAAATTGTGTTTGATGTGAATCATAAATCTCCGTGGTCTCATTTTTCAGCTTGTTTATGGAAAACATCAAAGCACGATGTGGTGGATCCTTGTCAAAGTTTTTATCAAAAGACGGTTTAATAGTTTCAGGGAGGTTCCAACGGAAGCTTCTTTGTCAAGTAATTATTCTCTGTTTCCTCTTCTTGTAAGCTTCTACCAAAATATTTATCAAGTTTTATTTAGATTTTATAATAATAATAGATATTTAAGGTTAAAACGTGTCACTGCAATTCATGGGATCCTTGCTAAATACTGAAGCAGAACTTTGAACCGGTTTTGGTCTTGTGAAGTTTAGTTGCAGAGCGTCTCTCGATAACTACTCCAGCTAAGGTATGATTTACCGCATAATTCAATAGTTAAAAGTAAAAATTAATTTAATTGGATAGAAATATACAATGGGTATCCACACTTAGAAAACTTGAGCGCAAAACTGAATATGAAAACAAACGCTGATTTGTTTTACATTCTAAGAAAATTTTAGCTCTATTAAGTTTAGATTAATTCTAACAATAAATTTTTTTCTCTTTCTTTTAATTAGCTTTGAAATAAAAAGTTTTTAATTGTTGAATTAATCAAAAAACTTGAGTGCTAAATAATTACTGAATTGTGAAAACCAACATAACATGGCATCTTGTCTTTTGATTGTTATTGGTGTCATGTTTAACTTATTTTCACATTTTAGAAAATAATTTAGCTCTTAAGTTTTTTACTAATTTGACAATGGTTTTTTTTCTTCTTTTAATTAGGTTTGAAATAAATGTTTTTGATTGTTGAATTAATTAAAAAATTTGAGTGCTAAATAATTACTGAATTGTGAAAACCAGCATAACATGGCATCTTGTCTTTTGATTGTTATTGGTGTCATGTTTAACTTGTTTTCACATTTTAGAAAACAATTTAGCTCTTAATGTTTTTTATTAATTTGACAAAGGTTTTTTTATTTCTTCTTTAAATTAGGTTTGAAATAAAGGTTTTTGATTGTTGAATTAATTAAAAAGCTTGTGTGCTAAATAATTACTGAATTGTGAAAACCAACATAACATGGCATCTTGTCTTTTGATTGTTATTGGTGTCATGTTTAACTTGTTTTCACATTTTAGAAAACAATTTAGCTCTTAAGTTTTTTACTAATTTGACAATGGTTTTTTTTTTCAGTTTAGCTCTTAAGTTTTTTTTCACTAATTTGACAATGTTTTTTTTTCTTTAAATTAGGTTTGAAATAAAGGTTTTTGATTGTTGAATTAATTAAAAAATTTGAGTGCTAAATAATTACTGAATTGTGAAAACCAACATAACATGGCATCTAGTCTTTTGATTGTTATTGGTGTCATGTTTAACTTGTTTTCACATTTTAAAAAACAATTCAGCTCTTAAGTTTTTTTATTAATTTGACAATGGTTTTTTTATTTTCAATTTAGCTCTTAAGTTTTTAGTAATTTGACAAAGGTTTTTTTATTTCTTCTTTAAATTAGGTTTGAAATAAAGGTTTTTGATTGTTGAATTAATTAAAAAACTTGTGTGCTAAATAATTACTGAATTGTCAAAACCAACATAATATGACATCTTGTCTTTTGATTGTTATTGGTGTCATGTTTAACTTGTTTTCACATTTTAGAAAACAATTTAGCTCTTAAGTTTTTTACTAATTTGACAATGGTTTTTTTCTTCTTTCTTTTAATTAGGTTTGAAATAAAGGTTTTTGATTGTTGAATTAATCAAAAAACTTGAGTGCTAAATAATTACTGAATTGTGAAAACCAACATAACATGGCATCTTGTCTTTTGATTGTTATTGGTGTCATGTTTAACTTGTTTTCACATTTTAGAAAACAATTTAGCTCTTAAGTTTTTTACTAATTTGACAATGGTTTTTTTCAATTTTTTTCTTGGGTTGATTTATGTTTAAAACAGAAATATATGTAAAAAAGTATGAATAAATTGTATTTATAATATTTATTAAATACAATTTAATTTAAAATATTTATCTTAAAAATAATAATTATGTTGGGGTCTAAATGTGCTGATGTGGATAGCCTAAATGGAGAGAAAACTCCCTAATTATATACTCCCCATTTTATATTTTTGTAGTATTATATTAAGATTATAGTGCCCATTTTATATTTTTACAAATGTCTAATTCAACAAGAGTTGATTTTTAACAAAAGAGTTGGTTTTGAATTTGTTTCCATAGATTTATTTAGAAAGATTTTAAGAGATGTGAGAAATTGCAATCATTTGGAAAAATGTGTTTTATGATTCGAGCGGCCATTAGATTTGTTTCCTGAAACCTGGGAAAATAGCAACGAGGAAAACGATCGAGAAATAGTAAATGTAATTGTTAATAGGGTATATTAATTCCAAATTATAGTGATAGAACATAACCGGAAAATAAAATGTGATTGACAAAATTATAAAAATGCAATATTTTTTTTTTTTTGGTTGCAATATTCAATATTCACGACTTCAACATAGGTCATACGTCTTATCTCGCTTTTTTCATGTGCAACTTGTTTCCCGATTTCCTTGGTCTCTCTTCCAAAGCTTTTCAGAGCATTTCTTCACGAAGGATATATGTTTGTTTCTCAAACAAAAAGAAGACATGGTAATTACTATACAATGCCAACAATATGAAAGTTAAAAAATGAGAAATGAAATCTCTTGTACCTCAACGCAAACATTGGAGAGTTGGGCATACGTCTTGAATTTGCTTCAATGTACAAATATAAGAACTAAACACAGAAGAAGTTATTGGAAAACCTAGAGGAGCACCAAGGATCATTCTTTGGATTTTAACCCCAAAAAACAAAAGCACCATTCATTCTTTGGTATTATACCAAACTAATAACAAATAAAGCAAATAAAATGTGATCTACTTTATGTTATACATTGCAACATTCCCCTCCTAGAGTTGACATAAACAATATAGTAGTATTCTTTAGCGTTTATGCTTTTAAAATGCAAGCAAATCAACATCGAATTTTGGTAAGCCTAAAACGACTAATGATGTAGCAACAGAGGTTTACGTGTTTGCAAACTCTGATTGTTCTTAGAGTGCAATTATACTCATCTTATTTCTATCTTCGCCCTATTCAAAGATGGTAAGCTTTGATCTAAGCCATAAATTCCATTTTGTATCTTCGTGCTATTCAAAGATGTTAAGCTTTGATGTAAGCCATAAATTACATTCCATGACTTAGTCATAAGCTTATAAAACTACAAGTTACCATGACAAAAATGGGCTACAGAATACAAAACATGGTTCTGTTGAAATCGAAGAGAATGGACGAGAAGAAGCCAAAGAGAAGGAAGAAGTGGAGATCGTGGATCTATGGAACAGTCGTAAAAAATAGTCAAGATAAAGATGGAAGAAACAGTGAATAATTGTTGACTGACACATCACTAAAAAGAGTACGTTTCACATGAAATTTTATAGGCTAAAAGATGTGTCAAGTACTGAAAGAATTATGTGTCAGATGAAGAGAGCTTTTCCCTACTAACAAGAGTATATCTCTTACACAGTTATAGATGTTGAGTTGTTGTGTTTTGTTTTAATTTTCATTTACCAGGTTATTAAATTGTCTGGATATCCTCTTCTGGGACCAAGCAAATCCAGTAGTTGGGAGAGGATGTGTGACAGTGTGAATAATTATGGAATGTTTCTGTGGGAAATAATCACAAAAGAAGTAAGATTCAAACTCTTTTAAATTTTGATTTCCTGAGATTTGTTTTCATTCTAACTTTTTCTTCTTTGTTGTTTCTAGTGTCCACATAAATATGCAGTGGAACATGCGCCAAAAGCATTTAGATGACGAACCCAATGGCACAGTGGATAAGAGATCTTTGCAGCCACATCTATCCACTGGTTATAGCATCATGAAACGAGTTCTCTTTGATCCTCTCATAAAAGGGATTCCAAAAGACATAAATCAGAAACTTGATGAGATTGTAGAGAGGTGTTTTAGTGCACAGCTGCCGACCTTTGCTGAGATTACCAGGTTTGTGAAGCCAGCTGCAAGTAAAACCGATCAGAAGCCACCTAGATCCTACCCTTATAGGTGAGATATAAACTTCTTGATACTGAAATGAAACAGAAGTTAACGAGTTTAGGCTTTTTGCGCCTTTATTGATAAATAACTTGCTGTGAGACGTACTCTTTTCTAGTAGGGGAAAACAATTACTTAGAGCATGTACAATGTATAATCTCAGCTGGGGCTCTTTAAAAACAAAAGAAAATAATTTTCAAACAAAAAAAAATTTTAAAATAAAAAAACCGACGAATCGTGTGGCGTCACGTGGCGAGCTCGCAACCGTTTCCAAAATCTCTAAGGGAAAATACGATTCTGTAAAAAAATTCTGCTATCTCACTCATTTTTTCTTCTCTTTTTTACCTATGAGTTAGTGCCAAGGTTGTGCATCGTACATGCTTTTAGCTATTTGATAGAGAGTTTTGTGGGACAGAAAACAAAAATTAGACTTACCCCATCGTTGGTCATGAACACATCTGTTAGCGTGGGACTTAGACAAATGTAGTTAGAGTAGAGATGTTGCATTCCACTAGCAACATCAAGAGCCACTTGCATCATTCTAGGAGTATCAAACACTATATCTTCCTTGTGAAGAGCATCATAAATTGTGCGACATTCTGGCTCTAATAGCAAGAATAACGAAACTCATATGAATTACCAAAAATCTTTCAAATTGAATCCGTCAGTATTTTAGATATCGAACAGGTACATCAACACCGTTATACTTTCCTTCAAACCTGCAAAAGTATAAAATGTCACATATGGCGGTTTTCAATTTCAAGAATCTAAATAAATTATTTTTGGGAACTTACAAATCGGTTTCAAGTTTCTTTCCAATCTTGAGAAAGTGTTTGTCGATCATCCAGATATGTTCATCCGAGAGTTCTCCTTTAACCTAATCGAATTCTTCACTTAGAAACATAACAAGAAACACGACTCTAACTCGTGCTCTTCGTGAAGAGCATGTTTCACCTTCTTAGGCCAATATTTCGCCATTTCATGGTACTTAGCTTCAATCTCCTTCAGACATTCCTCTGTAAAAGGGTAAACATTGGCTCCATGAGCTAACACAAGGTCCCTTGCTTCACTCGTTACGGTTTTTCCGGTCCAGCATTGGGATGCCACCGATGTTCTGCTTGTTTTATTTATGCATAAAACAATTTGTCTAATTGAATCTCACAGAATTGGAAAATGTTAAGTAAGATTTCAAATTGAAATTTGACTAAGTATAAACAGGTTAAATGGAAATCCGGGTTAGAGTGTTTCACTTCCCCTCTCTAAAAACCCAACCGGCGCCAAACAATAAACTTGCATTCGTGTCATTTGGAGGCAAATCCACCCGTCAAATATTTGGCGGGAAACAAATCACATCCTTCATTATTATTTTTTTTTATTGTTTGCACATCCTTGATTTTCTCTCATACCTTCCTCACTCAGAGAACACAATAGAGGAAAATCGAATCACGAAAAACCCTAATTCCTACCCTCAATTCGTCTTACCCGCTGTCGATTTCACTGTATTTCTTCCCCTTGAGATTACAGATCCCGTTTGATTCTATTTCGGGTGAGTTTTTAGGGTTTCGGCGATGGAGACGATAACGGGAGTTGAAAATCAGAAAAAACCGATTAAGCGGAAGAGGGAATCAGCGGCGATTGAGGATCTAACTTCTGAGGAGAAAGAGGCTCAGATCTCGTCGTTAAAGAAGGAGATTGATGCGCTTTTCGAGTATTTCAGAGAAATGGTGGGTCAGAGTCAGACGACAGATCTGTTGAGCGATTCCTCCTCCTCCTCCTCCTCCGTGAACTCTATGGTGGCGTTGTTGATGGAGGAGACAAGTTTGCCGTTATCGAAGCTTGTGGATGAGAGTTTCGCGAAACTGAAGGAGAAGACGGAGAGTGTCACTATAGCTTCCGTGAAGAGCGCCATTGTCTCTGTGGGTCAGAGAGTGAGTTACGGCGTGCCTAACGCAGACGCCGATGTTTTGGAAGATGATACTGAATCTTGCCTCTGGTGTTGGGAGGTAAATTGAATCCGTTATTTTCTTCTTCTTCAATTCGTTAGTCTACTTTTTTCAAATTGATTAATTGCAATTGGTAAATAGACGAGAGAGTTGAAGATGATGCCTAGAGAAGTTCGTGGGCTGCTAAAAGTTCGACGGACTTGTAGGAAGAAGATTCACGAAAGGATTATAGCAGTTTCTGGTAATTGTTTGTTTTTCTTTTTTTTTCTCTTTTGATGATTCTTGTTGATCGTTTATGTGATGTGGAGGCTTATAATTTTTCCAGCAATGGTAGATGCATTGCAAAGAGGAGAAAGTGAAAAGTCGTGGAGATGTGATGTGAGCAGAGCTAATGAAAAGCTTGGTAAAGTACTGAGTGAGGTTGAGATTCGATCGTTCATGGAGAACATGTTGCAGAAGAATAGTACACAGATGTAAGCATCTTTTTTTGTTTATGGCTTATAAGCTTTTTTTTTTTCTTTCTCTTTTCTTACTTGGTTATTGTATTTGGTTATATAAGGGGTGAGAAAGATGCGAAGCGAGAAGAGAAACTGCTTCTTAAGCAATTGGAGAAGACTAGATGTGAAGCTGAGAAGGAAAAGAAGAGAATGGAGCGTCAGATATTGAAAGAGAAGTTGCAACAAGTAAAGCTTTGGTCTTTTCTTTTTTAATCATTTCTTTGAATTCGTGACTTGTGACTGAGCCATTTGTCTGCTGTTGTCAGGAGAAAGAGCAGAAGCTGCAACAGAAGGCAATGAATGATGAGAATAACAAAGAAAAGGAAGAGCCTGAGTCGGCGAGAAAACGGGCGAAGAAACAGCAAGATGAGTCAGAGAAGGAGCAGAAGCGTAGAGAGAAGGAACAAGCCGAGCTAAAGAAGAAGCTCGAGGTACAGAAACAGGCTTCAATCATGGAGCGGTTTCTTAAAAGATGCATAGACAGCTCAACGGCCCAACCCGAAGTTCCTTCCGTTGATGTACCCGATCAGGCTCGGGCTCCTTCATGTACAAAACACGAGGGTGAAAGTGGAACAGTTGTGGAAGCCATCGACAATGCCTTTTCGAAAACTTCAGAGGCTACAGTTGATGATATTCGCAGGTATGATGACTGTTGGTGATTGATCTGTAAAGTGTCAACTTTGAGTATCTTGATATTATCTTGAAGTTGTATCTCCTTGCAGGGCACACTTTGCTTCTTGGCGTCAGTTGGGTCGTTTGCTCTCGAGTTCGAAGAAGCATTGGGGGATGCGTAGGGAGCCTAAGGTTGAGCCGTTTCTAAAACTCAAACTATCTACAAACAGGGAAGAAAAATCTGACGGTGAACCTAACACGGATGGATATGAAGAGAAAGACATGGTTGGTGTATCTTGCATTAGTCAGTGCGAGTCTTGGTCATCATCTAATCGTAAGAAGCTAAGGAGGGCCAAGCAGTTATTACAGTTTGATAAAAGCTGCAGACCTGGCTTTTATGGTATATGGCCTAGCCAAAGGTTAGTAACTTATCTTCGAATACCTTCATTTTCAGCAGTAAGCTTAAGATTTATGTAGATTGTTTGGTTTGTGAAAGCCTTTGATTAAAAACAAGGTTTTGTCTCTGCTTTTTCTTATGAGCTTTGTTACTACTTTATAATCAAGGCTTGAGAAACCAACTAACCATCGTCTCTGTTGCATATGTGGTTCTTGTGCATTTCAGTGTTGAATGATTAATCGTTGTTATGTAGAGAACATTTCCAGTAATTTTTTGCTCTCAATTGTTCTGAGGGTTCTTCTGGTTCAACAATGACAGTGAAGTAATAGGGCCACGTCGTCCTCTGAAAAAGGATCCGGAATTGGATTACGAAGTTGACAGTGACGAAGAATGGGAAGAGGTAGTTTTATTCATCTCAATACTCTGCTTTTAGAAACTCGACAAGAGAGATCAGTGGGATAATAAGGTGGTTGTTTGTTTACAGGAACAAGCTGGTGAAAGCCTCTCGGATTGTGAGGACGATGAAGAAGATGCAAAGGCTGGTGAAGAAGATGATGATAGTGAAGATGACTTTATGGTCCCTGATGGTTATCTCTCGGAAGACGAGGTAGCAACACACAACCTTCACTAACTCATCACAGATTCTTCTGAATCTTGAATTTTTTTTTCATTTTTCTTCAACTTTGCGATTGTTGCTTTCAGGGGGTTCAAGTGGAGAGAATGGAGTTTGATCCGTCTGAAAACGATGAAAGTTCGACTCCAACTAAACAAGATGAAGAGTTTCGTGCATTACTCCATCAACAAAAGCAATTGCAAAGTCTGACCGATCAGGCTCTCGCGAAATTGCAGCCGCTGATGATATCCAACCTAGCGCACGAGAAGCTCTCTCTCTCACCTTCTAAAGATGTAGACGGCACAACAGAGAAAGTCGAACAGATTTGTCTCCGAGCTCTCGTGGTACGACCCTTCCCTTGTTCTTCTGACGCTGACGCTGACGCTGACTCTGACGCTGGCAAGTCATCTTGTAGTCAGAGCACTCCTCCATCTTCTTCATCTTCTTCAAGAACAAGATCCATACCAATTGTGAGTGATTTTTTAATTTTTTGCTCCGAAACAAGTAACATGTGCTTTGTATCCTCTGGATTCCTCTCCTTTGTGACTTTGTTTTAGGGTTTCCGATATTGTTTTGTGCTTTGATCACTTTCTTCTGTTGTCGGGTCTTTCAATTGTGTGTGTTTGTTTCTGAAACATTGTGTGTATATGTTATGAACATGATTTTGTTCTTGCTCTGTAAGCTTGCTCTTGCTAACTAGAAAGTTTGGATCTTTTTGCAGGGAATTCTTGAAGACTCTTTCCTCGCAGGCCTTGGTGATTTATCTGACAATGAAGCAGAATTGGTTAGTGTATTGATTGTTATAGTTACTGAGTCATAATATTTACTTGGAGGAGCTATGGTTTTAATTGTAGTTTGTTTGGATTATCTATATGAATCAGGATGAGATGGATGGTGATGCTGGAAAGGAGGAAGACGACATTGACATGGACATGGCAGAACCTAAGAGCATGATCAATGGTGAATCCCTCATGGCAAATATTTTATTGTAAATTGTATCTAAGAACCTTAGTCTTAGATTAATGGGAATTTGTTTTTAGCCTCCAATGATAGATAAGAAACAAGAAAAAAAAAAGAAAACGAGCAAGACATCAAGCGTGCTAGAGATAACACATGCGAATTTACAGCTTTATCAAGTTTCTTACAGTAGTCCTTGATGGATTCAGAGTCCATAAGAACCTTGCAATTTGCAAATATCACCAAATGCTGCTTAAAGCCAAAGAATCTCCTGAAAACTACCATTATAAAACTTTTATTCTTGGCATAACTATGACGAGAACCATTGTTACCGTTTACTTGTTCAAATTACTAAACATAAATTAGCCAAAAGACAATTTGCAAATAATTAGTTCATGACAATTTGCAAGATGAACCATCGTGAGTGGTTTTCTATTAGTTTCTGTGACCAATCGAAATTTGAACCCAGAATGATGATGCTCGATCCAAGAATTATTGTACTCTTTCTTTCATATGCACTGTTTAGCTTTTTTACATGCTTAAATGATACCATTTAAAGAAAAACGGAGGGAGTACCATTTAAATGTCCAGAAAATTCATCTCAAAAAATATCTCAAAACTTACTTTTTGCTTTAAAGAAAAAATAAAAAATAAAAAATAAAAAGCTGACAAATAATGTTACGCCACATATCCAACTTTACTCCAGAGACGTTTTTAAATCTCCTCCCAGAGAGATGTATCTGAACATTTAATTTGGCCACATAGATAACTTTTTGATTTGTTTTTTTTTTTTTTTTTTGAGAGACGATAAGAGTATCTGCAATGCCTATGCTCTAAGATGGACTGGTTGTGATATTTTACCAATCAAAAATAAGAAAACTAGGAAAAAAAAGGTTTTCCTTTTAAAATATTTTGAATTACTACAACACAAAGAAGAAAACATAAAGAAGCTTTTCCTCTAGTAGATGTAAAATCTTCTAAAATCATTTCCCATTTTCCACAAAATTTACTTCCTCTTGTGATTTCTTGTTTCCTCTAATTGCACACTAATCAAAACCGGAAAAGATCTAAAAGTTCGTTGAACGATGCAACGTGAACACTGGCGTAAATAGACAAACAAAGGATCACGTTTCTCGGATATAGAATCGAGAAAAAGTACTCTTTTTTTTATTGGGAAAGTTGAGAGTTATTTACTGAATAATTAAAAAAAAAATCAGACCTTTGTCTGTTTCTTTGTAGTAATTCTAAACATGTTACCCGTTTGTCAGTGAAGTCACATTCAAGCATTAACAATCATTCAAGAAGAGAAGACGAAGTGAACCAATCCAAAACTCTGCTAACATTTTCCTCCTCCAACCAAAAAAAATCAGATCTTTTTTCTTGTTTGTTGCTCTGCTTTGCGTCAATGGAGGAAGAAGATAGGATTGAAGAAGGAAGCAGCAACAACAGCTTGAGGCGTGTTGGTACCGGAAGCAGCAGCGACAGGAGATGGGTCGACGGAAGCGAGGTGAACTCTGAAACGCCGCCGTTTTTCGAAACCAGAGATGGAGGAGATTATAGTTTTGGGAATTTGAGGAGGAGACTGGTGAAAAAGCCCAAAAGAGCTGATTCTCTTGATGTTGAAGCCATGGAAATTGCAGGTGCTCATGGTCACAGTCTAAAGGTTAAGTTTTTAGATTCACCCATTAATAAAGTTTCGATTTTTTTAAGCGCCCAATAGTGTTTGTGTAATTGACATAAGAAAAAAATGAATCTTTTTAGGATTTGTCACTTTTGGGTACTATTGGGATAGCGTTTCAGACGTTAGGTGTTGTCTATGGTGACATGGGAACAAGCCCTTTGTATGTGTTCAGTGATGTCTTCAGTAAAGTTCCAATAAGATCAGAAGTTGATGTTCTTGGTGCCTTGTCTCTCGTCATCTACACTATTGCTGTGATTCCTTTAGCAAAGTATGTCTTTGTAGTCCTTAAAGCCAACGACAATGGCGAAGGTAAGTTTGAATAACTGTAACCAATACATGTTTAGGTGGTGTAAAGTGGTTCTCTCAGTATGTGTGTGTTTTCTGCAGGAGGAACATTTGCTTTGTATTCATTGATTTGTAGGTATGCAAAGGTGAATAAGCTGCCAAATCAACAGCCTGCAGACGAAATGATCTCTAGTTTTAGGCTTAAACTCCCAACTCCTGAGCTGGAACGAGCTCTGGGGATTAAAGAAGCTTTGGAGACAAAAGGGTATTTGAAAACTCTTCTTCTGCTTTTAGTGCTAATGGGAACTTCCATGATTATTGGCGATGGAATTCTGACACCAGCAATGTCAGGTAAGTCTGAATTGTTTTGTATTTGTTGCTATGGAAGTTGAGATTGAGGTTGAGGTTTTGATGTTATCTTCCTCATGATTGTTATGTAGTGATGTCTGCAATGAGTGGTTTACAAGGTCAAGTTGAAGGATTTGGAACAAGTGAGTATACACTACCACATGATTTCTGTTTGTTTTGCTTAAGCAAATTGCTTATTGGTGTGTGTGTTTGTGTCATATCACAGATGCATTGGTTTCGTCTTCGATTGTGATTCTTGTGGCATTGTTCAGCATACAACGGTTTGGGACTGGTAAAGTTGGTTTTCTCTTTGCTCCGGTTCTCGCGCTTTGGTTCTTCTCTCTCGGTGCTATTGGAATCTATAATCTGCTGAAGTACGACATCACTGTAATTAGAGCACTAAACCCTTACTATATCGTTCTGTTCTTCAACAAGAATAGCAAACAGGCTTGGTCTGCTCTTGGTGGATGCGTCTTATGCATTACAGGTAACCAAAACGCTTACACAACTTCTAAAAATCGAAACTTTACTACTTTTCTTCACAGAGGATTTGATACTCTGCAGGAGCTGAAGCAATGTTTGCAGATTTGGGACATTTCTCAGTTCGTTCTATACAGGTTAGGCATCATTACTCACTCACCTTATGATCACTGTTTGATTTATAGTAATGATTAATGATGATATTACTTGAATATCAGATGGCATTCACATGCGTGGTGTTCCCATGCCTTCTCTTAGCTTACATGGGTCAAGCTGCTTATCTAACAAAGCATCCTCATGCCTCAGCTCGTATATTCTATGATTCAGTTCCAGGTAAACCAATCAATACATCCCCCAAGGTCTCAGCTTTGATTATAGTAAATGTGCAAAATGCTGAAATTTGTTGAAAATGCAGAGAGTTTGTTCTGGCCTGTGTTTGTGATTGCTACATTAGCAGCGATGATAGCAAGCCAAGCTATGATCTCTGCGACTTTCTCATGCGTCAAACAAGCCATGGCTCTAGGTTGCTTCCCAAGGCTGAAGATAATCCACACTTCTAAGAAACGGATGGGTCAAATCTACATTCCGGTCATCAATTGGTTCTTGATGATCATGTGCATACTTGTCGTCTCCATCTTCAGAAGCACAACTCACATCGCCAATGCTTATGGTCAGTCTCAATTCTGTCCGGTTTTCTGAAAAAGCTTTCTCCTTTCTGATGCTTTCTTCTCCATTCTTCTTGTTTCAGGGATAGCTGAGGTAGGTGTGATGATGGTGAGCACAGTCTTGGTAACACTAGTGATGCTTCTCATTTGGCAAACCAATCTGTTTCTCGCTCTCTGTTTCCCTCTTGTGTTCGGATCCGTTGAGACCATTTACTTGCTTGCGGTTCTCACAAAGATCTTGGAAGGCGGTTGGGTTCCTCTAGTGTTCGCCACTTTCTTCCTCACCATAATGTACGTTTGGAACTACGGAAGCGTGCTCAAGTACCAAAGCGAGGTCAGGGAAAGAATCTCCATGGAATTTATGCGAGAGCTCGGCTCAACTCTTGGAACTATTCGAATCCCTGGGATTGGTCTCCTCTACAATGAGCTTGTTCAAGGCATACCTTCCATTTTTGGACAGTTCTTGCTCACTCTTCCCGCGATTCACTCGACTATCATCTTCGTCTGCATCAAGTACGTCCCTGTCCCTGTCGTTCCTCAAGAAGAGAGGTTCCTCTTCAGAAGGGTTTGTCCTAAGGACTACCATATGTTCAGGTGCATTGCGAGGTATGGTTACAAAGATGTCAGGAAAGAAGACTCTAGAGTCTTTGAACAGCTTCTTATTGAAAGCTTAGAGAAGTTCTTGAGGTGTGAAGCGATTGAGGACGCTTTAGAGAGCACTATGAATGATTTTGATCCTGATAGGGTTTCGGTTGTAAGTGATACTTACACTGACGACCTCACTGTTCCTCTCATTCGCCGAGGAAAGCGGTCTGAGCCAGAGCCAGAGCAAGAGGTGGTGGTGGATGCAGAGTTTTTGCCGTCTTCAAGCGTAGGGTCAATGGAGGAAGATCCAGCTCTTGAATATGAGCTTGCGGCTTTGAGAGAAGCTACGGATTCAGGGCTAACGTATTTGCTAGCTCATGGAGATGTGAGGGCGAAGAAGAATTCGATATTTGTGAAGAAGCTTGTGATTAATTACTTCTATGCGTTTTTGAGGAGGAATTGCAGAGCTGGTGCTGCGAATTTGACTGTTCCTCATATGAACATCCTGCAAGCTGGGATGACTTATATGGTCTAATGTTTGATTCTTTAGATTACTTATATATACTCTCTTTTGGATCATTTCTTTTCTGGATCTCTTCATTATTTAGGGTCTGTTTCTTGCGGTAGACGTTTGTGATTGTTGTTACCGTGAGGTAGAAGCAAAGGTAGAAGATTTGCTAATATTCATACTGTAATAGTTAGGGGGGAATAAATGTTTTACCATCTTCTTGTATAAGTAAACCAAACTTTGCAAGTGTTTGTTACGTTGTACAATGCTTTGTACTAATTAAAAAATATTATAAAGCTAATGGTGCGAACACATTTGTTCTCATCTCCCATTCATAACCTTAACATTAAGAATGCACAAAGAAGCAGTTGTGGCTGTGGTCAAGTTAGATTGCTATGTTCATATATGTCATCATGTGAGTTTTGGGTCAATGAATTTGTTAAAGCATAGAGACGAATTAGATAAGTGGGATTTGAGTGAGTCTTTGATTGGATGTTAACCAAAATCTTAAAGTATATATTGACATTCTTTTACATTTTTGTGTCAAAAACAAATATCCTATTCCAGAGTGAATCCTACTTGCAAATCACGAAGTATAAGTAAAACAAACTTTACAAGTTTTGGTTGTATAATGCTTTGTACTAATTAAAAAACAATTCGTATTAGTTATAGTGAAAGTAAGTTGTTAAGTTAAATTGATAATTTGATCAAGCAATCACGCAGCGGAACCAAAAAAGATGTTCAAAAAAAAAAAAAAAAAAGATCAAGCAATCACGCAGTTGTGGTTAATTTAATTTGATATGTTGTTTGAAATTGATAGTTTATTAGATGTGTATATTTCATATCAGTACAAATTCGCATGATGGTTATATGATCCTATCAATGACTAGATTATCCAAGTTTTGAGTCAAGAAATTTGTTAAAGAAGCATTGAAACCAAATAAGTAAGTGGGATTTAAGTGAGTCTTTGATTGGATGTTAATCAAAATCTTAAAGTAGATAATGACATTCTTTTTCGTATTAATTAATGTCAAAATCAAAAATTTTAGTTTTAAAGTGAATCCTACTTGCAACTCACTGTCTCATTTGTATATCTCTATATATATTACTTAAATCTGTAAAAGCTAATTATATAAAAAGCTTTGAGTTTATGGGACCGGTGACATTTTGGTGAAATAACTCTCCATTAAATTTGTTTAGCTAGTGACATGGTTGAACTTGCCCCTACAAAATATAGTTTTAAATATAGCTTTATATTACAAAAATGGTGACACCCTCTCACATAAGAATGTCAAATTCAAAAAGACGAGTGTACATTTTAAACTCTCTAGTTTATGTAGTAGATTATTCGTATTGGTCAAGTTTAGCTTACATATTAGATAAATAAACAAAGGTCAACACAAAGGTCGAAGGGACAACTTCACCTATATATGGATATTGCTTGTTATAGGGGTCATTTTCTGGATAAGTGGACTTTTTTTCTATTACAATCAATATTTATTTTATTACAAACAAATTTACTGACCAGGACATATAACATAATAGTACAAGTTTGTAATAGTATTGTCGTTGTGTCATATACTCATATATCCCACGTTCAAATCTGTTAATGTGCGTTTGTATATGCAACTATCAGATTTGATTTCCAATTTTTTTTGTTATTCCATGTTTCACTGTGTCATGTACGTACGTACTATTTGTTATTCTTCATAGTGAAACCAAGACAATGGAATCGATTACATTACACACTACAAAGAACAACGGTAATATAAGACCATATAAGTCTAAATCCACGTACAAGACGATCTTAACTTTGACATGTTCGAATTAAACATGTGTGACTGTGATCGTAATATAAAACCTCCTATAGCTGAAATAATACCCTTGCATTTTGTGATTAGGGATTTTACTATTCAAGCTAAAAAAAACAAACATTTGGAGGGTCTAATTATTAATATCTCCAAGACAGTTGAATAGTAAATCAGTGGAGTTTTTGTTTTTGTTTTTTCTATTTTTCTGACAAAGTCGAATGGTGCACTGGTGTCTATTCGGTTGGTGTTTAGTCTTACGACTTGGACTCGTACCTAACATTCTCACTAAACTGATAGGTTGTCCTTTTATAAATTTCTCACATATATAGGTTTTGATTGGTAAATTTAAAAAAAAAACTAATATGATGAGGTTTTTATTTGTCAATTTTAGAATAATGAAATTTGGTTTTGTGACCTGATTATTCACATTTCTTACTAATCCTACAAAGATCGTGTAATGGAGCTTTATGATGCATGAATTCTACAACACAAAAGTATAAATGTTAAAAACAAAAAAAATTGTGTTGCTCCGTTTCAACCAATCTATATTTTTTTCTTTTCTTTTGCAGATTACTTTAGTTTCACTCTCTTATTAGAGAGCTCCCCTTATTAGAACTCTAGATCTATTGGATTAAACATACCTATATTTTGGATTGAAACTTTGGATAATTCATCATAAACAGTATATATAATCTCACATCGAAACAAGACTCAAACTAGTTTGTAGGAAATTTTAAAAGTAGATATGATATCAGTTTTGTCGACTTGCGGAAAAAAAAGGTTGGAACTAGAACAATTGAAGTGGCCTTTGATTTATGTTCGATGTATGATAAAAAAGACTTGCACGTTTGTCTATAACGTCAAAACAATTGAATTATTCCTTCTTCGTCTGTATTTTATCCACTCGTTATGTCATTTTCACAACTTTCCATTTCCTTTTCTTATCTCCATGTTATCTTCTTTAATTTCTGTGCTTTTGAAAAGATTGAACATACAGTATATTATTTTCATGGTGTATATACCACGGAGGACTAATATAATCATAAGTATTAAACTAATTAAACTACACATAAAGACGAACAAAGTTGATACTGTAAGATCTGTGATGATTGTGTGACTGCATAAAAATCAGAGCTAAAGGTTTAAGAATTATAATAGTGGGTCTGCCTAAGATTTTCTTTGAATCTTTGCTAATAACTTATACACATACATTTTGGTCTTCGTCGGTGAGAAGAAGATGAGGCTGTGGCCATTAGGGAGTGTAGGTGTGTACTGTGTAGCACCGTGAAACGAGGCGAAGTGGATTATCTCTTGGGCCCACGGCGGGCCCAATATCTTCACAGCACCACAAGAGACCAACGATGTTTTAGTTTATACTCGTGGCGACCACATGCCTTTCAGGTTTCAGCCTAATAAATTTCACAAATTGCTGATAGTAACACTGTATATATGAATATCCTTATAATGTTTTCTTGCCAATGCCATACCAATTTTCGGTTTTAAAAGTTGACTGTTAAAAACCAAAAAGAAAAACAGTTTTGGTTTTAAAATAGAAAGATGATATCGTAACAACGCTAAGTGGTTATGACTTATGACAATAATTTGATGCTGAAAGATTCTCTAGGTTACGATGCTGGAGGAAGCCAAGACTCTCTATATAAGTTAATCAAACAGAGAAAATGATGGTTTCAATAGAAGCCATCAACAGTTGTAGAACATGAAATCTAATTAAGCACTTAATGAAATATAAACATGTAGACTAAAGATTTAATATGCTTCAATAGTGTGTTTAGTTAGGTTCCAAGGTTAATATAAACAAGAATCACTTGGCATGTATATGTCAATATTTTCATCAATTTATAAAATAAATATTTATTTGCTAAACATATAAAAATATATAAGAATTAGAAATCGGTAATCCAAGTTTTAAGTTGATGTCAGACTATTGATAGTTGCATGCTTTGATACAGCAGTGATATGGTATCGTCTCCAATCTTTAACAATCCACATATCCACCACAATACCATTCTCTTTGAAGTAAAAATAGTCATTTTCTGGCAAAATTTCACCATAGTTATATGCATATAATCTTTGAACAGTTCAACATAAATTTTCTTTATAAAATATCGTACACTATTTTTACACATAATAAAATTTCAACATAACCTATTTTTAAATCATTTGAGATTCTGACATATAAATAAGTTAGAACAACTAATTTATAGATATTCATTTGATTGGGTTGACCTAAATTCTTAAACAATTTTGAATGATCGAAACGGAGTTTGTAGTAAAAGATGTTCTCCAATTTTTTTTATGTTTTCACTGATAAAAGATCCCAAAAAATCAACTGTACGCCATTGGAACTTTCATGATTATCAATCTAACTTTGTCACGTATATACATGATTATATAAATGCAAACCGATGGGATTTTCAGTCTCTCAAATGAAGAAACAAATATGCAATCAATTCAAAGCGATTGAATCCCATATCATGCTTCCGATAATCAAGTTTTGGAGTTACTTTTTGGATTTTTCACCAGACGAACCATTATTTGGTCATTAATAATCAAATATCAACGTTACTTTTCGTTTTTTTCTTTTTATTATAAAAAAAAAATGGTTACTAGAATTCTAGAAACTGAGATCACTACGAAAATGTCGACGAAGAAAATAAAATAATTATTTTGTTAAAAAAATAGTAGGAGTCTATGAGTCTATCGAACTTATCCACCTTTTAAGATTGAATCAAAACTCTCATTTTTTTCGTATAATAATATTATTAAGCTCTATAGTCTCTCTGATCTCTTCGAGAATATCCATTTCCTCGATTCCATTTCCTCTTTTCTCTCCTTTCTTCCTTTCGATCGATTCATTTCGAACGCCGGCGACGGAGCTAACTCTCACACGGTGACCGCCGGTGATTTTCCCCCTTGGTAAGCAGCTTTTGACTTTGCTCCTAAAGCGTTTCACTCTTCTTCTTCTTTCTCCTCTGATCTTACTTTATTTAGCTGTTGAATCGCCCGATCCTTTCTCTCTTCTGATGGATTTTCTGGGTTCTGGTCAAACTCGACCTAGGGATTTGGGGATTTCCGGTGCTTCACTGATATAGGATCGAAGTTTCTTAATTTGCTTTAGCAACAGTGAAATTTGTTATTTTCCGATTTGGGATTCTCAGTGAAAGATCTGGAGATGGAACTTGATTATCGTTTCTGAATTTTCCATTTTTGAGGTCTCACACAATTTTAGCTATGGAACTAGTGTGCGTTATTGAAGCTTTATTATATCTTTACCTACTTGCAAGAACATGAACAATTTGTAAATTATGATGAGAAGATACAAAAGTTTTGATTTTTCCTGTCATTTAAATTCAATCATTTCTGCTCTTTGATGATATTGAAAACTTGTTATTTCTCCTACTTGTTTCGTCTCTAATGTATTTGACTGATTATAGTTTGGTTGGTGTGTGGACTCAAAACTACTTGATTTATTGACAATGCTAATGATATGGACTTCTCTTTTGTAAATGTAGTTCCTTGGGATCTTTATTCAGCTTGGGAGTCTCTACCTTTTATGATTTTGTGTTTCAAGAATGGGGTCAAAATCATTTGGAAACCTCTTAGACTTGGCATGTGGGGATCTTCTGGAGATTCCTCAGACTCCAAGAGCTCTTCCAAAAGTGATGACTGTTCCTGGAATCATCTCTGACGCCGATGGAGATGGTGTTAGTGATAATGATTCAGATGCCATCTCATCATTATCTTGCCGCGAGCGGAAGATCATAGTAGCAAACTTTCTTCCTTTAAATGGCAAAAAGGATTCAGAAACTGGAAAGTGGATCTTCAGCCTGGACAATGATTCTCCTCTGTTACATCTCAAAGATGGGTTTTCTCCAGAGACGGAAGTCATTTACGTTGGATCACTCAAGACAGATGTTGATGTGACTGAGCAAGAAGAGGTCTCCCAGAAACTCTTTGAGGAATTCAACTGCGTACCGACTTTTATCCCACAAGATGTGCATGAAAAATTCTACCAGGGCTTTTGTAAACAGCAGCTATGGCCACTTTTCCACTACATGTTACCAATGTGCCCTGATCACGGCGAGCGCTTTGATCGCAGTCTTTGGCAGGCGTATGTCTCTGCCAACAAAATATTCGCAGATAAGGTAATGGGAGTGATTAATCTCGAGGAGGATTACATCTGGATTCATGACTATCATTTGATGGTCCTACCAACGTTTTTGAGGAGGCGTTTTCACAGGGTTAAGCTCGGTTTCTTCCTCCACAGTCCGTTCCCTTCTTCGGAAATTTACCGAACCTTACCTGTTCGTGAGGAGCTACTAAGAGGCCTCCTAAACTGCGACTTGATTGGTTTTCACACGTTTGATTACGCTCGGCATTTCTTGTCATGCTGCTGTAGAATGCTTGGATTGGAGTATGAGTCTAAGAGAGGGCATATTGCTCTTGACTACTTAGGCCGTACGGTGTTCTTGAAGATTCTTCCTATAGGTATTCACATGGGAAGGCTTGAAACCGTTCTGAATCTTCCTGCTACAGCTGAGAAACTGAAAGAGATCCAAGAAAAGTATCGCGGCAAGAAGGTGATCCTCGGTGTTGACGACATGGATATCTTCAAAGGCTTAAGTCTGAAAATGTTGGCCTTTGAACACCTCCTACAGCAGTATCCTACCATGCTGGGGAAACTAGTTCTTATCCAGATTGTGAATCCAGCCAGAGGCTCAGGTAAAGACGTCCAGGAAGCCAAGAAAGAGACTTATCACACTGTGAAAAGAATCAACGAGCGGTATGGTTCTCCCGGTTATGAGCCGGTGGTTCTGATTGATCGTCCTGTTCCTCGGTTTGAGAAGTCTGCTTATTACGCCATGGCAGAGTGCTGCATAGTTAATGCGGTGAGGGATGGCATGAACTTAGTTCCATACAAGTACACTGTTTGTCGTCAGGGAACTCCAAACATGGATAAAGCTCTGGGACTAAGTGAAGATTCTCCTCGCACAAGCACGCTTGTTCTCTCTGAGTTCATTGGCTGCTCACCTTCTTTAAGTGGTGCCATTAGGGTTAATCCTTGGGACGTTGACGGGGTAGCTGATTCGATGTACTCTGCAATCACCATGTCTGATTTTGAGAAGCAGCTACGGCATAAGAAACACTATCACTACATTAGCACACACCATGTGGGGTATTGGGCAAACAGCTTTTCTCAGGATCTGGAGAGGGCGTGTAGAGAGCATTACAGTAAACGATGCTGGGGTGTGGGTTGGGGTTTAAGTTTTAGGCTCGTTGCTCTCTCTCCGAATTTCAGAAGGCTATCCATTGAGCAAGCCGTTACTGCTTACAGAAGATCGAGCAGGAGAGTTATCTTTCTTGACTACGATGGCACTTTAGTTCCTGAGTCCTCTATTGTAAAGGATCCAAGTGCTGAAGTTATCTCTGCATTGAAGGCACTGTGTAGTGATCCTAACAACACTATCTTTATCGTTAGTGGGAGAGGGAAAGTTTCTTTGAGCGAGTGGCTTGCACCGTGTGAGAATCTTGGCATAGCTGCTGAACACGGTTACTTCACAAGGTACGTTAATGATTTGTGTTAATTCTTCTTGAGAATAAATCTTAGAAGACAATCTTTTGTAATGCAGGTGGAATAAGTCATCCGATTGGGAGACGAGCGGCGTATCTGATGATCTTGAGTGGAAGAAGATCGTGGAGCCTATTATGAGACTGTACACAGAAACTACGGATGGATCTAATATAGAAGCGAAAGAAAGTGCGTTGGTGTGGCATCACCAAGATGCAGACCCAGACTTTGGTTCTTGTCAAGCTAAGGAGCTTCTTGACCATCTCGAAACCGTTCTTGTGAATGAACCTGTTGTTGTTAACAGAGGCCACCAAATCGTTGAAGTCAAGCCTCAGGTAATTATAAGGTTTCTTCACCCCATCTTGTTTCATTGCGTTGAGTCCAAGCAAACATAAACTTGACATGTTTGGATGAAACAGGGAGTAAGCAAAGGTCTCGTCACCGGGAAGGTTCTAAGCAGAATGGTGGAAGAAGGGAAGGCGCCGGATTTTGTGGTGTGCATTGGAGACGACAGGTCAGACGAGGAGATGTTTGAGAGCATAACAACAACACTCTCTGCTCAATCATCGTCGTCAATGTCTACAGAGATATTCGCGTGTACGGTGGGGAGAAAACCGAGCAAAGCCAAGTACTTCTTGGATGAAGTAAGCGACGTGGTGAAGTTGCTTCAAGCACTTACCACAACTTCGAGCCCAAAGCCTAGGTACCCTTCTCACCTCAGAGTCTCCTTCGAAAGCGTGGTATGAGTAAGAAGAAAATCAGAGGTTCAACGAGTTATTTAGGAGGAAAAAAAATGTGAATTTGAATCGTGAGAACATTGAAAAGAAACATGATTTGTACATAGGAAACACGAAGAAGGAAAAATGAGAGACAAAACTTGATGTTGTTTGCGATTTGAGCCTATGAATGTGAGGCTTCTTTCTTTAGTCAGGTTTTGTGCATGTAAATAATAATTTAATACTTATGAGCAAGAGACGGCTCTTTCCCTTATTGTGCTTGTATATATTTGTCTTTGCGTGTCATCTAAGTTTCTATTTAGAGTAACACATTGTTATTCTTAGGTTTTGATAAGTAAAAGAAAACAGAAAACATACAGTAGTAATAAAATGTCTTAATTATATTCTAGTTTTCATTATCATCGTAATCCAATAGTTTAGTTCCGAAGAGCAAGCGAAAAAACTTTAGCAGCACAAGTAGATTATATTTCCTTTTACCTGTTGTTCAAAAAGGATATCTTTTGACTTGCTATATTTCTTTTCAGTAGGTTCAACAATGTCTTATTTTGTTAGACTTGCCATTTCCTTTTAGTTATACGATAATTTGATCTAGGAAATTACAATAGGAAAGTTTCAATTTGCATAATTAATTAATTACATTAGTTCAATGACACATGTCAAGAAACAATAAATAGCACATGGATACGATGATTAGGTTTCAAGTTTCCTTATATCTTTTCGAATTAGGGTTTTGAAAGCTTTATATATATATACCGTCACACGGATACGGGAAAGTACCAAAAACAAAGTCTCTGAGAAAGTCGTCTTTTGCTCTGAGTATGGAGGATCAAAAGCAGACGAGTTTTACTTTTGAGATGGATAACTTCTCCGACAAGGAATGTTTCGTATATTCTCCAAAATTCTCAAGCGGCGGCTGCGAATGGTATTAATTTTGTTTTTTTGATTTCTTAATTCAAACAAAGTAGCGTTGCCTTGTATTATACGAACAACAACTAAAGCGTTTCGTTTATCTGTTTCCTCCAGGTTTGTTAGGGTTTATCCCAAAGGATATATTGTTGATGAGCACTTGTCTCTCTTCCTCTGTGTTGCGAATCCTAAATCATTGCGACTTGGATGGAAAAGACGAGCAAGTTATACCTTCGCTCTGTTGAATGAATCAGGCAAAGAGCTCGTCAGAACAACGGGTACGTAATTAATTTATTTTCCACGTATATAAATATCTGATTGATGATAAAGAAAATTTCACTTAAAGTTTTCTGTTTTTTTTTTTTTGTTTTCAGAATCGTCGTTATACTGCCAATTGTTCTGCGCTCAGTTCTCAGCATGGGGTATGGCAAAGGCCGTACCTCTTGAAAGGTTTTCTGGAAAAGAACAAACTGAGAGTTAAAGTGGAAGTAAAAGTCCTTGAAGTTGTTGATCAAGGAGTTGTCACTGGTAATGAGACGTTCGATTATTATGGTTTCCAAATTCTTAATTCACAGGTATGATTACTATTTATAAGAATGCTTCTCATTGTGTTCTTTTTTATTCTATTTTCTGGTTAGCATAATCTCATCTTCCTCTCGTTGACAGGTGGTTTCAGTGGGCGAGCTCTTCACAAAACACCCTGACATTGATGCAAATTTCAGACCAAAGAACCAATTGGCCAAGACAACATACATGAATCTCCTCCTCGGTCTCATAGAGACACTGGACAAGCCTCCACATAGCATCACCGACACTGAGCTAGGCAACGCTCAGAATGACTTGATCGAGCTAACAGATCTAGCCGGATTCAAGCTAGACTGGTTGAAGAAAAAGTTTGATGAGGTTTCCTTGGAGAGGAAGAAACCAAATGGTGGTGATGATACTCAAGTCCAAGAACATATCAAGAATCTCAACCTTGAACTGGAAAAGGAGAAGGTCAAGTCTGCTACTTATGCTGCTAGAGTATTGTCGATGGAGAAGACTGTCTCGGATCTCAACGATGAGGTGTTGAATCTTAAAGATGAGCGGAACAAGGAAAAGGGCAAATCTAATAATTATGCTGCTAAAGTTTGGTCTATGGAACAGACGGTGTCGGATCTTAAAGATGAGCTGGACAAGGAGAAGCGCGAAGCTGTTGTTAAAATTGTGGGTCTTAAAGATGAGGTGTCGGATCTTGAACATGAGGTGTTTGATCTTGAAACTGAGCTGAACAAGGAGAAGGGCAAATCTAATGCTTGTGATGCTAAAGTTATGTCATTAGAACAGACGGTGTCGGATCTTAAAGATGAGCTGGACAAGGAGAAGCACAAATCTGCTGCTAAAGTTCTGTTGTTAAATAAGACAGTGTCGGATCTTGAAGATGAGCTGAACAGGGAGAAGGGAAGATCTGCTGATGAAGTTTGGTCATTGGAGCAGACAGTGTTGAATCTCAGAGCTGAGTTGAACAAGGAGAAGGCTGCTGCTTGCTCTTGGGAAGTATTGGATTACGAGGATCTCCCTAATGATAAGTAGAAATAATTAAGACATTTTATGTTTTCTGTTTTCTTTTAATTAATCAAGAAGTTGGTGGATTTCTGTTTTCTTTTATTACACTACACAAATTAAACGAGTTCTTGATATCCAAAGAGTTTTGTTAGTGAAGTCAGATTCTTATATGTAGTTGACTGTGTGTGTGTCTCTTCAATCTCATGAGTTCCCACTAACTATCACAAAGAACAATATGTATTTGCCATTGTCACTTTCATACGTAGCCATATCAATCGACAAAGCCAGCCTGACAAAGAAATTTGGTGACAATTCTACACCTTTCTTCTCGGAGAAGTTATCTATCTCAAAGGTAAAACTCATCTTCTTTTTTTTTTTTTTCAATTTCATGTAAAATTAACTCAAAAAAAGGCGTTTGTTTACATCATGTGCAACGTATATTTGAAAAGCATTCGATAGAAAGAAAAAAAAGAGTCTAGCTTCTTGTTTCAAACCAGGTTTGCAACGCACCATCAAACTTTCGATCTCCAATCTGCGTAATTGATGAAAGGCGGTTCCGTGTGGTTTTGTCAATGAGCTGAACGAGTTGAGCTGGGGGAAGTGGCTGTTTTCCATGGCGCCGAGAGTTCCGTTCCGTCAAGTCAAGAGACCATGAATTGTGGCTTGAAAAACATACCGAATGAGGAATTGGGTATGTCGTGGTTGAGTGGTATTTGAAATGACGGAGACAAGGGCGTTCCAGTTTGTGGTGTAGAGGCCTTTGAGAAGACCCTTTGTCAACACACTCCAGACTGCTGCAGAGTATCGACATGCGAAGAAGAGGTGATTGCGGGATTCCACAGACTGCTGACATAGGAGACAAGTAGCATTGACACCCGCATTCCAAGAGAGCATTCTATCTCCGGTAGCCAAACGATTATGCATCGCTAACCAGGCAAAGAAACATAATTTAGGGGTGGAATGAGTAAACCAAACTCCACGGTGCCATTGAATAACGGGTCCGGCATGTCGGAGCTGTATCCAGGTATTCTTTGTACTGAAAGAAGGTTTGTATACGTCCGCAGAAGCTTTCCAAAGCGGTATGTCTTCTGCAGTGTGCATGCTCCGGCTGCATAGAGAGTTGAGCATGACTTGGATAGCCCGTAGCTGCTCTGTTCTATGGCGTCTGCGTCCGAGACCAGTGAGAGCGTCCGCCACCGATTTACTCGAAGTAATACCCAGATCAATAAAACCCCGTGGTCCAGTGATGTCGATCAGCGTACCTAGCGGCGACCAGTTGTCGTACCAGAATGAAGTTCTCTGGCCGTTATGAACTTCCACCTTGTAGAACTGCTTTGCCAAATCTCTGCATTTCAATAACTTTCGCCAGACCCATGATCCCAAACCAGTATCTCGAACTGACCAGAAGGAGTCCGTAGGGATGAGATACGTTTTGATCCACTGGACCAAAACTCATCTTCTTTTGACCAGAAGGAGTCCGTAGGGATGAGATACGTTTTCATAGTCTACTCTTAGGCCTTGTTTTTGGTACAGTAGTCACTATTCAATAATGTCTTATTTTACCTTTTTGCAATTTCCTTTTTTTATACGATAATTTGATCTAAGAAATAAATAGCTTCCAATAGGGTTTTGAAAAAGCTTAATTTATATGATACGGTCATACGGATACGGCCGGAAAGTACCAAAAACAAGTCTCTGAGTAAGTCGTCTTTGTGCTCGAGTATGGAGAATCAAAAGCAGACGAGTTTTACGTTTGAGATAGATAATTTTTCCGAGAAGGAAGGTCTCATACGATCTCCAAAATTTTCAAGCGGCGGCTGCGAATGGTATTAATCGTGCTTTTTGATTTCTTTAACTCATCCTCTAACATTCAAACAAAGTAGCGTTGTATTATATGAACAACAACTAAAGCGTTTCGTTAATCTGTTTCCTCCAGGATTGTTAGGGTTCATCCCAAAGGAAAGATTGTTAATGATCACTTGTCTCTGTTCCTTCACGTTGCGAATCCTGAATCATTGAGACTTGGATGGAAAAGACTAGCTAGTTATTCCTTCTTTCTGGTGAATCAATCAGGCAAAGAGCTCTTCAGAATAAACGGTAACTACTTGACTTATTTGCCATGGAGTTGGGTTTTATGTCTGATGGATGAAGAAGAAAAATTCAATTTATCTTTTTGGTTTTGGTGCAGAAGCGTTGTCCGAATTGTTCTGCGCTCAGTTCCCAGGATCTGGTAGGGCAAAGGCCGTGCCTCTTAAAAAACTTCAAGAAAAAGGGTTTTTGGAGAAGAACAAACTGAGAGTTAAAGTGGAAGTCAAAGTAGTTGAAGTTGTTGATCAAGGAGATGCCACTGGGAATGAGACGTTTGATGTCAAGGGTTTCCAAGTTCTTTATTCTCAGGTATGATTAATATTATCAGAATGCTTCTCATTGTCTTGTTTTTTTATTCTCTTTTCTGGTTAGCATATATAAGTGCATCTTTCTCTCGTTGACAGGTGATTTCAGTGACCGAGCTTTTCTTGAAACACCCTGACATTGCTGCAAATTTCAGATTAAAGAACCAATCGGTGAAGACAACATACATGAACCTACTTCTCGGTCTCATAGAGACACTCAAAAAGCCTCAACATACCTTCTCCGAGACTGTGCTAAGCAACGCTCAGGATGAGCTGATGGAGCTCACGGAAGCAGGATTCAAGGTTGACTGGTTGAAGACAAAGCTAGATGAGGTTTCCTTGGAGAGGAAGAAAGATAATGCTCGAGTCCAAGAACTCGAGGAACTCATCAAGAATCTCAAACTTGAACTGAACAAGGAGAAGAGCAAAACTGATGCTTCTGATGCTAAAGTTCTGTCGTTGGAGCAGACGGTGTCGGATCTTAAAGACGTGCTGAACAAGCAGAAGCATGAATCTGCTGCTAAAGTTCTGCTGTTGGATCAGACAGTGTGGGGTCTTAAAGATGAGGTGTCGGTTCTTGAATATGAGGTGTCGGATCTTGGAGATGAGCTGAACAAGGAGAAGGGCAAATCTGCTGATAAAGTTTGGACATTGCAACAGACGGTGTTGAATCTCAGCGCTGAGCTAAAGAAGGAGAAGGGCAAATTTGATACTTGTGATGCTAAAGTTTTGTCATTGGAACAGACAGTGTTGAGTCTCAGAGATGACCTAAAGAAGGAGAAGGCTGCTGCATGCTCTTGGGAAGTATTGGATTACGCAGATCTCCCTAATGATAAGTAGATTATTAATTAAGACATTTTATTACTAATGTTTTCTGTTTTCTTTTATTAATCAAGAAGTTGGTAGATTTCTGTTTTCTTTTATTACACTACACAGAACGAGTTCTAGATATCCAAAGAGTTTTACTAGTGAAGTCAGATTCTTATAGGTAGTTGACTGTGTGTCTCTTCATTCTCGAGAGTCCTATTAACCATTACAAAGAACAATATTTGCCATAATCACATTCATAAGTAGCCATATCAATCGACAAAGCGTGACCTAGATTGATTTTTTTCACGGCTTTAAAGAGTTGTAGGCCCGAACAATGTAAAAGAGTAAGATAAGTACTTTTCGTGAAAAAATATATATATTTCAAGTGTGATTTAAGAATAGCTTCAAGTGCACTTTTAAGTTTCCTAAACATACATGATCACTCACAATCGCTACAATCACTCAATTAGATAAGCCATCCTAAAATGTAAATCTGAATCATGCAACATGATCTGTACATTTGTACAAGTTTTCTTTTCCCTTTTTTAATTTTGTTTAGAATAACAATTTCCTTTTTAATTATTATATGATAATTAGAAATAACTTACAATAGGAAATTTTATGTAATTTACATTAGTACAGTGGGTCTCGTTCTAATTTACGTTCCTTATTTCTTTTTGAAAAGGGTTTTGAAAAAAAGCTTTATTATATATATATATATATATAACACGGCCATACGGGTAAGTACCCAAAACAATTCTGTGAAAAAGAAGGTCGTCTTTAGCTCGAAGTAACAAGGCCTACGGATAGAGTATGGAGGATCAAGAGCAGACGTGTTTTACCTTTGAGATAGATAACTTCTCCGAGAAGGAAGATGAGATTGTATCACCAAATTTCTTAAGCGGCGGATGCGAATGGTAAAATAAATTATTCAGTGTTTTGACTTTTAACTGCAAAATAGCGTTGTATTTGTTATTAGATGAACAAATAATATGGCGTTTAGCTAATCTGTTCTTTTTTTGGTTCCAGGTATGTTGAGGTTTGTCCCAAAGGAGATACTGTTGATGATCACTTGTCTCTCTACCTCTGTGTTGCGAATCCTGAATCACTGCGACTTGGATGGAAAAGACGAGCTACTTATTCCTTGATTATTTTGAATCAATCAGGCAAAGAGCTCTTCATAGAAGATGGTAACTAATTGACTTATTTTTATGAATATATAATATCTGATTGATTAAGAAGAAAATTCAAATTAATTACTTTTTTCTGGCTTTCATCGTACAGAATCGTGTAAAATGTTCTGCGCTCAGTTCACAGGATGGGGTTGGGCAAAGGTCGTGCCTCTTAAAGAGCTTCAAGAAGAAGGGTTTATAGAGAAGAACAAACTGATAATTAGAGTGGAAGTTAAAGTAGTTGAAGTTGTTGATGAAGGAGATGACAATGAGAATGAGGCGTTTGATTACGAGGGTTTCCAAATTCTATATTCTCAGGTATGACTTAGTTATATAGGATGCTTCTTCTTCTTCTTGTTTATTTCTTCTTGTTTATAAGATCCTTCTCTTGATTACAGGTTTTTTTAGTGAGCTGGATTTTCGATGAGCACCCGGACTTTGCAGTAAATGTCAGACCAAAGAACCAACGGGTGAAGACAACATACATGAACATCCTCCTCGATCTTATCGAGACTCTGGACAAGCCTCCACGTAGCATCACCGAGTCTGAGCTAAGCAACGCTCAGAGCGATTTGATCGATCTAACAGAAGCAGGATTTAAGCTTGACTGGCTGAAGACAAAGCTTGATGAAGTTTCCTTGGAGAGGAAGAAAGCGAATGCTACTGATGGATCTCGAGTCCAAGAACTCGAGGAACACATCAAGAATCTCAAAGTTGAACTGAACGAGGAGAAGATCAAAACTGCTACAGTGTCCGACCTTAAAGATGAGGTGTCGTACCTAAAAGCTGAGGTGTCGAATCTCAGAGCTGAGCTGAACAAGGAGAAGGGCAAATCTGCTGCTAAATTTATGTCGTTGGAACAGACGGTGTTGAATCTCAGAGCAGAGTTGAACAAGGAGAAGGGTGTTATTTCCTCTTGGGATGTATTGGATTACGCATGAAAAGTAGAAAATTAAATAAGACATTTTATTACTAATGCTTTCTGTTTTCTTTTATTAATCAACAACTTGGGGGGTTTTTACGTTCGTCTCGATCTCAAATTGAAACAATAAATTTCCAAGCGCAATAAGTAGATGATATATGGTCTAGTGTTTCTTGGATTATAAATCTTGAGAGATAGAAATCTCATACCAAAAAAAAAATAAGATTCCAAATATCCAAATTGTTGTGTAAGTGAATTCAGATTCTTATAGGTAGTTGTCTGTGTCTCCTCAATTTCAAGAGTCCCAATAATTAACCTACAAAGAAAAATATTTGCCATAACCACATTCCTACGTAAGCCATAATTATTAGCGACTTATCAGCAAGAGACATCTCTTTGTGTTTGTATATACTGAATTAGGGTTTTTAAGGGTTTAGCACTTTTGTAGATTGTCAATGTGCTTGTTTCATTGCATTGAAACGAAGCAATCCTTATATTTTGTAAGGTCTTGTCACGGAGTACATAATCACAGACTGACATCTTTGGAGTACGCAAAGGTCTTGTCACGGACTCACGGGGAAAGTTCGTGGCAGAATGCTTGAGGAACGGAAGGAACCGGAGATGAGGAGATGTTTGAGAGCATAACAACAACACTCTCTGCTCAATCATCATCGTCAATGTCTACAGAGACGGTGGGAAGAAAACCGAGCAAAGCCAAGTACTTCTTGGATGAAGTGAGCGATGTGGTGAAGTTGCTTCAAGGACTTACCACCACTTCGAGCCTAAAGCCTAAGTACACTTCTCACCTCCGAGTCTCCTTCGAAAGCGTGGTATGAGTATGAAGAAAATCAGAGGTTCCACAGGGTTTACCGAGTTATTTAGAAGGGAAAATGTAAATCTGAATCATGAAAAATTGAAAAGCAACATGATTTGTACAAGTTTTATTTTGCCTTTTTTAATTATTTTTTAGAAGAACTATTTCAGTCATAACTGTATTATAATTTGAAATAACTTACAAAAGGAAAGTTTATGTAATTTACATTAGTACAATGGTCTTGTTCTAATTTACGTTCCTTATTTCTTTTTGAAAAGGAATTTGAAAAAAAGCTTTATGTATATACACGGCCATCCGACCTAAAACAAATTCTGTGAAAACAAGGTCGTCTTTTGCTCGAAGTAACAAGGCCTACGAATAGAGTATGGAGAATCAAGAGCAGACGAGTTTTACCTTTGAGATAGATAACTTCTCCGAGAAGGAAGATGAGATTGAATCACCAAATTTCTTAAGCGTGCGAATGGTAAAATAAACTATTCAGAGTTTTCATTTGTAACTGCAAAATAATAAAGCTTTTCGTTAATCTGTTCTTTTCTTTTTTTGCTCCAGGTATGTTGAGGTTTTTCCCAAAGGAGATCTTTTTGATGATCACTTGTCTCTGTACCTCTGTGTTGCGAATCCTGAATCACTGCGACTTGGATGGAAAAGACGAGCTAGTTTTTCCTTCGTTCTACTGAGTCAATCAGGCAAAGAGCTCTTCAGAAAAGATGGTAATTAACTAATTGACTTATTTTTATGAATATATAATATCTGACTGATGAAGAAGAAAAAAATTCAAATTACTTTTTATGGCTTTCATCGTACAGAATCGTGCCAATTGTTCTGCGCTGAGTTCTCAGGATGGGGTTGTGATGCGGTGCCTCTTAAAAAGCTTCAAGAAGAAGGGTTTCTGGAGAAGAACAAACTGATCGTTAAAGTGGAAATTAAAGTAGTTGAAGTTGTTGACGAAGGAGATGTCACTGGGAATGAGACATTAGATGTTGACGGTTTCCAAGTTCTTCATTCTTAGGTATTGTTTAATAAAACGGATGCTTCTTCTTCTTGTTTATTTCTTCTTTAATTGATTCCCTTTTCTGGTTAAACCTAATTGCATCTTTCTCTTGTTTATAGGTTGTTTCAGTGAGCTGGATTTTCGAGGAGCACCCTGACTTTGCAGTAAATGTCAGACCAAAGAAGACAACATACATAAATATCCTCCTCGGTCTTATCGAGACACTAAACAAGCCTCGACATGACATCTCTGAGACTGAGCTAAGCAACGCTCAGAGCGAGTTGATCGATCTAACAGAAGCAGGTTTCAAGCTGGACTGGTTGGAGACAAAGCTTGATGAAGTTTCCTTGGAGAGGAAGAAAGAAAATACTCTCGAGGAACACATCAAGAATCTCACACTAAACAAGGAGAAGGTCAAAACTGATACTTCATCTGCTAAAGTTCGTTCGGTGGAGCAAACGGTGTTGGACCTCATAGATGAGCTGAACAAGGAGAAGCACGAATCTGCTGCTAAATTCCTGTCGTTGGAACATACTGTGTCGGATCTTGAAGATGTGTTGAACATGGAGAAGGACAAATCAGATACTTGTGCTGCTAAAGTTTCTTCGTTGGAACAGACAGTGGTGAATCTCAGAGCTGAGATGAACAAGGAGAAGGCTGCTGCTTGCTCTTGGGAAGTATTGGATTACGAGGAGGATCTCCATAATGAAAAAGTAGAGTACAATTAAGACATCATTACTGCTTATGGTTTTCTGTTTTCTTATATTAATCAAGAACTTGGTGGCTTTATGCATTTATATATCGTCGTCTCAACCTCAAATTGAATTTGTAAGTTTCCAAGCACAAGAAACGTAGATGATATGGTCAAACCAGTTACACAGAACGATTCTAGATATCCAAAGACTAAACCATTCTCAGCTTTTTACTGATTCTGCTCTGTATCTCTTGTGTTGACTTTTCAGACTTGTTCCTCCTTCTATGCAACATTTCATGAAAACCCTGTCATAGACATAGATTTAATGGATAATAATATTTCCTTCTACAGTACAGTACTTGATACTTTACTTTTAGTAAGTTCAATAATGTTTTATTTTGTCTTTTTGATTTTTTTCTTTTTTAGAATAACTGTACTTCCTTATAATTTTACGATAATTTGAAATACTTCAAAAAGAAAGTTTTATGTAATTTATATACATTAGTACTGTATAATGTGAGACATGTATCGTTCTAATTTACATATAAGTTTCCTATGTATTTCTTGTTGAATTAGGATTTTGAAAAAATATTTATTCATGTATAGATATATATACACGGCCATACGGGTAAGTACCACGAAAATTCTGTGAGAAGAAGGTCGACTTTTTGCTCGAAGTAACAAGGCCTAGCTAAGAATAGAGTATGGAGGATCAGAAGCAGATGAGTTTTAGCTTTGAGATAGATAACTTCTCCGACAAGAAAGGTCTCATACGATATCCATTATTCTCAAGCGGCGGCTGCGAATGGTAAAATAAAATATTAATCGTGTTTTGATTTCTTGGCTCATCCTCTAACATTCAACAACAAAATAGCGTTGTATTGGTTATGAGATGAACAACTAATAAAGCGTTTAGTTAATCTGTTTTTTTTTTCCAGGTATGTTGAAGTTTATCCCAAAGGAGATGATATTGTTGATGATCACTTGTCTCTGTACCTCCAAGTTGCGAATCCTGAATCATTGCGACTTGGATGGAAAAGACGAGCTACTTATTCCTTGATTATTTTGAATCGATCAGGCGAAGAGCTCTTCAAAGAATATGGTAACTGATTGACTTATTTTGATGAATACATAATATCTGGTTGATGAACAAGAAAATTCTAATTACTTTTTTATTTTCATCGTGCCAAGTGTTCTGCGCTCAGTTCTCAGGATGTGGTTTTCCAAAGGCCTTGCCTCTTAAAAAGCTTCAAGAAAAAGGGTTTCTGGAGAAGAACAAACTGGTTGTTAGAGTAGAAGTTAAAGTAGATGAAGTTGTTGATGAAGGAGATGCCACTGAGAATGAGACGTTCAATTACGGAGGTTTCCAAGTTCTATATTCTCAGGTATGACTTAGTTATACATGATGTTTCTTCTTTTTCTTGTTTATTTCTTCGTTACTTGATTCCCTTTCCTTGTTAACATAATTAGATCCTTCTCTTGATTACAGGTTGTTTCACTGAGCTGGATTGTCGAGGAGCACCCTGACTTTGCAGTAAATGTCACACAAAAGAACCAACGGATGAAGACAGCATACATTAATATCCTCCTTGATCTTATCGAGACACTGAACAAGCCTCCACATAGCATCACCCAGACTGAACTAAGCAACGCTCAGAGTGAGTTGATCGATCTAACAGAAGCCGGATTCAAGTTGGACTGGTTGGAGACAAAGCTTGATGAAGTTTTCTTGGAGAGGAAGAAAATGAATACTGCTGATGGGTCGGACCTTAAAGATGAGCTGAACAAGGAGATTGGAAAATCTGCTGCTAAAGTTTCGTCCATGGAGAATTTTAAAGATGAGTTGTCGGATCTTAAAGATGAGCTGAACAAGGAGAAGAGCAAATCTGCTACCTGTGCTGCTAAAGTTTCAGATATTGAAAAAGAGGTGTGGGTTCTTAGAGATGAGGTGTCGGATCTTGAAGATGTGTTGAACATGGAGAAGGGCAAATCTAATACTTGTGCTGCTGAAGTTTTGTCGTTGAAACAGACTGTGTCGGATCTTGAAGAAGAGGTGTGGGTTCTTAAAGATGAGGTGTCGGATCTTAAAGATGTGTTGAACAAGGAGAAGGACAAATCAGACACTTATGCTGCTAAAGTTTTGTCGTTGGAGCAGACAGTGTTGAATCAGACAGTGTTGAATCTCAGAGCTGACCTGAAGGAGGAGAAGGGTGTTGTTTCCTCTTGGGAAGTATTGGATTACGCAGATCTCCATAATGAAAAGTAGAACATACGACATTTTAATATTTTTATTACTAATGTTTTCTGTTTTCTTTTATTAATCAAGAACTTGGTGGCTTTAATGTTCGTCTCAATCTCAAAATTGAAATTGTAAGTTTCCAAGCGCAATAAGTAGATGATATATGGTCTAGTCTTTCTTGGATTATAAATCTTGAGTGTTGAGACCCATTACAAAGAACGATTCTAAATATCCAAAGACTTATGTTAGTGAAGTCAGATTCTTATGATTGCGTCTCCTCAATCTCTGTTAGTATAACTGTTTCCTTTTAATTTTGTATTTGCTAATTTGAAATAACAATAACAATTGGCACGATTCTGTACGATGAAACACATAAATATTAATTTGAATTAGCAAAGACAAAGCTTGATGAAGTTTCCTTGGAGAGGAAGAAAACGAATACTTTTGATGGGTCTCGAGTCCAAGAACTCGAGGAACACATCAAGAATCTCAAAGTTGGACTGAAGGAGGAGAAGATCAAAACTGCTACGGTGTCGGACCTTAAAGATGAGGTTTTGGATCTTAATGATGAGGTTTTGGATCTTAAAGATGAGCTGAACAAGGAGAAGATCAAAACTGCTACGGTGTCCGACCTTAAAGATGAGATCTTGAATCTTAAATATGAGCTGAACAAGGAGAAGGGTAGATCTAATACTTGTGCTGCTGAGGTTTTGTCGTTGAAACAGACTGTGTTGGATCTTAAAGATGAGCTGAACAAGGAGAAGGGCAAATCTGCTACCTGTGCTGCTAAAGTTTCAGATCTTGAAGATGTGTTGAACAAGGAGAAGGACAAATCAGATACTTGTGCTGCTAAAGTTTCTTCGTTGGAACAGATGGTGTTGAATCTCAGAGCTGAGCTGAACAAGGAGAAGGCAGCTGCTTGCTCTTGGGAAGTATTGGATTACGATGATCTCCCTAATGATAAGTAGAATATAAGACATTTTTTTATTTCTAATTAATGTTTTCTGTTTTCTTTTATTAATCAATAACTTTGGGTTTTTATGTTCGTCTCAATCTCAAATTGAAACTGTAATAAGTTTCCAAGCGCAATAAGTAGATGATATGGTCTAGTCTTTCTTGGATTATAAATCCTGAGAGATCGAACCCATTGCACATTACGATTCCAAATATCCAAATTCTTTTTTGTAAGTGAAACATGAAGAAGAAAAAAAGAGACACAAAACTAGATGTTGCTACATTTTGCCTATGAATTTGAGGCTTCTTTACTCAGGTTTTGTGCATGTAAACAATAATCTACGACTTATAAGAAAGTGACAGCTCTTTCCCTTATTGTGTTTGTATTGTCTTTGTGTGGCATCTAAGTTTCTCTTTAATTTATAAATATTCACAATCTATTATTTCTTGCTGTTTTCAAAAAGTTTATATTTTTTTCTTGTAATCTTATTTTGTAGAGCTCATCACTACACTTGAACCACCCTGTTTACTCACTATTTTGTAATTAAACACGGGTTTGTGAGTTGTGTTCTCGGTCAAACTCATAAATATTGAGACTCAGAAATTAGTAAGCCGTGTCATTATGATCCATGTAATACATTCTTGATTAGAAACCAAATACTGTAATATTTAAATAGAAATCGACTTTTGTAAACTGTAATTAAGAAAACTCAAAATTGAACTACATTCATATTTGCTTTGTAGTTTGACGACATGTAGGGGAATATTTTAAATATGGCTTCATTACCATTTTTCAAAAAGTTAAGACTTATTTCACATTTTTACTCTTTCTTATTGATGTAACAAATCTGATCCTTCCATTATTTTATTTTAATTTAGCAATAATAACAAATTTTTGTTTGTTGGATCGCTCATATCATATCATATTACTAAGCTATTTCCAATTAGACAATGCCTTATTTTGCCTTTTCTGAAATTTTTTAGACTTATACAAATTACCTTTCAGTTTATACAAGAAATAATTGAAATTTTCCTTAACGAAATCTACAATGACATATGGCCCGTTCTACACTAACAAAACACATATAATTAGAAGGATTCGGTTTTAAGTTTCCTTATTTCTTTTTGAATTAGGCTTTTTAAAAAGCTTTATATATATACAATGAAGTACCAAAAACAAGCCTGCAAGAAGATCATCTTTTGCTCGAAGTAACAAGGCCTACGAATAGACTACGGAGAATCAAAAGAAGATGAGTTTTACCTTTGCGATAGATAACTTCTCCGAGAAGGAAGCTGTGATAGAATCTCCAAAATTCTCAAGCGGCGGCTGCCAATGGTAAAAGAAAATAATGTGTTTTGCTTTCTTAACTCTAACATTCAAACAAATTTTGTATTTGTTATTAGATGAACAACTAAGGTGTTTGGTTAATCTGTTTCCTCTTTTTTTTTTTTCTAGGTTTGTTGAGGTTTTTCCCAAAGGATATATTGTTGATGATCACTTGTCATTGTACCTCTTGGTTGGTAATCCTGAATCATTACGACATGGATGGGAGAGACGAGCTAGTTATTCCTTTGCTCTGTTGAATGAATCAGGCAAAGAGCTCTTGAAAACAACGGGTACGTTAATTAACCTATTTTCCATGCAGTTGCGTTATATATCTGATTGATGAAAGAATCAAAATTCAGTTTAACTTTTTTTGTTTTTTGTTTTTGGTTTACACAGAATCATCGTGCCAATTGTTCTGCGATGAGTTCACAGGATGGGGTAGGACAAGAGCCGTACCTCTCAGAAAGCTTCACAGGTTTACGAAGAAGAACAAACTGATCGTTAAAGTTTATGAAGCTGTTGATGAAGGATTTGTCACCGGGAAGGAAACGTTAGACATCAGGGGGTTCCAAGTTCTTTATTCTCAGGTATTATTTGATTATTATATTATAAGAATGTTTATTCTTGTTTTTTTTTTTAGATTCTATAATTGATTCCCTGTTCTCTTGTTGATAGGTTGTTTCGGTGGGTAGGCTTTTCATTGAACAGCCGAACGTTGCAGCAAATTTTAAAATAAAGAACAAATTGGTGAAGACAAGGCACATGAACCTCCTTCTTGGTCTCATAGAGACACTGGAGAGGCCCCCAAGTAGCTTCTCCGAGGATGAGCTAAGCAACACTCGTAACAATCTGATCAAGCTAACAGAAGCACGATTCAAGCTAGACTGGTTGAAGGCAAAGCTTGATGAGGTTTCCTTGGAGTGGAAGAAAGATGATGCTCGAGTCCAAGAACTCGTGGAACACATCAAGAATCTCACACTTGAGCTGAAGGAGAAGGGAAAAACCGATGCTTATGCTACTAAATTTCTCCCGTTGGCGCAGATGGTGTCGGATCTTACGTATGAGGTGTCAGATCTTAAAATTTAGCTGAAAAAGGAGAAGCAGATGATATGGTCTAGTATTTAAATATCCAAAGAGTTTTTGGAGTGAGTGGGACGATTTGTACATGTTTTCATTGATTCTTATTATACTAATAACTAAGTTTGTGAACCACAATTCATCTTGAAAGTGATGTCAGATTTTTTAGATAAAACTAATTTTTTCATGAGAAATTTATATACATTTAAAAACAAAATATAAATCTGATTAGATACGAAGTATTCTTTATTTTTTTATTATATGGATGACATGATGATTCAAAAAATTACTATGATTTATAATCTCCGTGGTCCTTACATTAAGTCGAAGCAATCCTTACATATTGCTGGTTTTAACATTGTCCTGAACTGACATAACAACAACACTCTAAGCTCAATCATCATCATCAATGTCTACAGAGTCGGTGGGGAGAAAACCGAGCAAAGCCAAGTACTTCTTGGATGACGTAAGCGACGTGGTGAAGTTGCTTCCGCTTAGGACTTACCACCACTTCGAGCCCAAAGTCTCCTTCGAAACCCTGGTTTGATCAGCTTGAAGAAATCAGAGGTTCAAAGGCGTTTTACCGAGTTATTTAGGAGGAAGAAGGTGAATCTGAATCATGAAAACATTGGAAACAAACATGATTTGTACATAGAAAATCACGAAGAAGAAAAAAGAGAGACAAAACTTGGTGTTGTTGCGATTTGAGCTTATGTATTTGAGCCTATGATGTTGCCAGGTGTACATGTACCTATAATTTACTACTCATGAGCAAGAATTTGTCTTTGTATATACAATTATTGTCTTTGTGTGTCATGTAAGTTTTTATTTAATTTATATAATATATTCAGAATATAGTTCTTGCTGTGTTGCCACAGGTTCAAAAAGTTGATATTTTTTCTTGTAATCTTTATTCTATAAAAACCCTTCATTACACTTGCACCATCCTGTTTCGTAAACAAGGGTTTGTATATATGAGTTGTGTTCTCGATTAAGTCCCATGCATGACACAGTGTTATTATGATCCATGTAAAACTTTCTAAATTAGATCCCAGTATTATTTGCATAGAAATTGAGTTTTGTAAACTGTAGTTAACAAAGTCCTAAATTGAACTGGTGATCCTTTAAAGAATAAAAGGAATGATAAGGAATATGAACAAGAGGAACAACAAGGAACAAATCATAAGGAATAGATTTTAGAGACGGAATGGAACAAAATATCATTAGAATGGTAACAAAAAAAAAGAAACAAAATTTTGAAAATAAAAATACTCGAAAATAAATTATAAGCTATTCTAGAAGTATGTAATATCAACAAAATTGCAAAGCACTTGTCTCCTAAAGTAAAGCTACACAATACGAAGTTCCTGCAAATATGTATATCAATATTATTATTATTAATATGATCTTTACAAGAAAAAAAACTCAAGCTTTTATAGATATAGATAAATTCGATATAAATATTGCTAACATAAAATTCTTAGAAAAACGTAAATTAAAAACCTAGCAAACACCAACGCTCGAAAACACTCAAATCAAAAGCTAGATAATAATTAAATCCCATGACACTCGAGTGATCTTAATAAAATATGTTATTACTATTTTTTATTTTTGTTCCTTTTCATTCCTTGGCAAATTTGGAGTGGAACATATTTGTACTATAATTCCTCATAATTTAAGGAATAAATGGGAATCATGTGGGTCTCACAATAAAGAAGGATTCCTTCCAAATGGTAAATTTTTTTTAGGAATGAAGAGGAACAACATATTCCCTCTCATTCCATTCCTTAATTATGGTTACCAGTTATTACTTGATCTGACGACATGTAGTGGAATAGTTTTTTAAAATATGGCTTAATTACCATTTTTAAAAAAAGTTAAGACTTATTTTCCTCTTACTTTCGATAAAATCTTCTTTTCCTTTTTTTTATTTTGACATATTTTCCTCTTTCTTATGATATAATTTACTATTATGATATATGTCAAATTTATTATGATATATAAATTTCTGTTTGATTTACTAGTTCCTTTTAATAATTCGATAATGTCGTATTCTTTTTTTGATAAATGATAATGTCGTATTCTTCCTTTTCTGAAATTGTTTAGACTTACTATTTCCTTTTAATTATTCAAGAAATAGATAACTAACAAATCTATTACTAATAAAAGTTGACCCTATATGCATTAGAGAGTGTCCACCTAGGATTCTAAAATTGAATTTGATTGGTCTATGTCATTATTTTTTTTTTGAATAATTAATTTCCTATTTTCCTTTTTATTCTTATTAGCAAATTTACATTTTTTTTAATATCCAACAAATTATTGTTTGAGAAAGATTAGGATTAGGATAATTCTAATTTTGTAATTACCACTTCTCTAATTTCCTTATTGCATAGTGATTCCTTTTACCATTATGAATACAATGATTTTATTCATTTTACTATCAGGAATACGATGATCTAAAATAAAAGTTGATTCTATAAGTCTCTAAAAGTGTTCAACTAGGATTAAAGAAACTGAATTTCATTGGTCCACATAATCACTTTAAAAGAATTTATTTTTTTAGTTATTACTATGATATTTCCTTAACACTTAATTTTATTTTTCTTCATACTAAAGTGTTTAAAAAATAGATTTTGTTTTTCTAATGACAGAAAAAGGAAATAAAAAATTCAATTTGATTGGTCCACATAAGAACCTTAAAAGATTTCCTTTCTAATTGTTATTATGATATTTCCTTAATACTTAATTCTAATTTAATTACTTCCTATGAAATATATAATCTTTAAATTACTTCTTATATATATTTTTTCAAATTTCGTTTTTCTTAATATAAAATATTTAACATTTAAATTTATATATTGTTAATATGTTACATGTTCATTTTAATATTTTGAACAAAATATGTTGCTAATTAGTTTAAAAAAAAAGTTATATGTGAATATATATAGGAATATAAACAAAAGAAAATTTATATTGTATATAAGCATCAACATATTATTAATTTGTTGATTTATATGCATCATATTATATATTAAAATGGAAATAATATTGTCTTGAAAATACGTTGAAAATAAAAACTGCAACTACTTACAGTTTTGGGAAAGCTATTGAATAACCGGAAAATGGAGCAGCATGAAAGTTCACTAGCTGAGTTCAAAAACATGACAAAACAAGATCTAACCGAGTTATAATAAATCGACTAGGTCTAATACTTATCCTTTAGGTCTTTATCTAAAGAAACTAATACTCTCTCTGTCCCATATTATAAGCTGTTTTAGCTTAAACACAAGAATTAAGAAAACTGTTCTGCTTTAAAAAAGTATCATTTAATATATAGTTTAAATATAATCCAACCAATCACAAAAACAACTGCAAAATATAAGTGGTCACACAGTTTTGTATAAAGTAAAATTGCATTGAAATGTCAAAACTGCTTATATGGTGGGACAAAATTTATAAGCTAAAATAGCTTATATTATGGGACAGAGGGAGTATTACTTAATGGCAACAAAATTCAACAAACCAACAATTATGGATGACTAAACGGAAAATTGCTCATTTTATTCCCCCACTATTTGCAATGAGAATTTGTATTCCTCAACTATCATTTGCTCACTTTAATTCCTGAAGTATGAGTTAACTGCGCAAAATTATAATTAAAAAGTCAAACTTTCGAAAATAAAAATCAATCTTTGAATAATAGACATAAAACGTTAAATAAATTTGTAAATACATCATAATTTTCACCATTATACTTTAAAAAATTCTAAATAAATAATTTAGGATATTTTTTTGCGATTTTTATTGATCTTTAGTTCGAATCTGGTGGATTTTAGGGATTAAATATAATCCAAATTTTAAGATTTCTGTCAAATAATCTATCAAAATTTTATTAGAAGTCAACAAAATGATTCATAGATTTCTTTATTTTTTTTTTATTTTTTATGTTTAACAATGAAAATTATGATGAATTTATTATTTTATTTAATATTATATGTTTATTATTAAAAGTTTGATTTTTTAATCATGAGTTTGCGCAGTCAACTTAAACTTCAGGAATTAAAGTGAGCAAGTGATAGTTGAGGAATAAAAATTCTCATTGCAAATAGTTGGGGAATAAAATGAGCAATTTTCCCATAACTAAACCTTATATATCTATAGAAGAAACCAAAAATTAAAGGCTGGAATAAGTATATGGTAGATCCAAATTTAAATAGGACTCAAAAAAAACAAAACAAAAGGATTAACGGCAAATTGAGTTTAGATAGTACCTCAAAGAAATATGATTCTTCAGTGATGAAACATGGAGCTAACTAAGTTTGATTAGTGGATGTTTGAAAATTATAAGAAAGATTTGGGGCTAAGAGGATTTAGTATGAATTGTGAGATTCAATGACATGAAATTGTTATGAAACAAAATAATTGGTAGTATGTATATAATTAAAGCAGAGGAGAGCTAGGGTGATAATATGGATGTAGAGATATAGAATTTCGACGAAACTGGTTTATAAATGAGATTTAATTTAAGGTTTTCGAAAAATAATGGCAAAAGAGTCGCATTTTTGAATCTTCATCTTTGCATCTCGAAGCCGAATGTAATAAATTTATAATTTCAGAATGATGACTAAACCCAAAATGTGACAAAACCGGCCAAACTTTTGAACCGAAAATTTGAGATTCGGCTATATATACTCAATTGAAACAATAGGACAACAAACTTTAGGGATTAATGTAACTTCTCCAATGATTGGGCCTCTATGCCTTATGAGAAAATGTGAGAAAAATTGTAATCTGTTTTTAATAAGAAATTATCACAATGCAATTCCTTTTATTATTGTGACCAACTATACAAGAGTTAAATTGATTTGGTAAATTTAAAAATATAAAGAAATTAAATAATAAGAAACTATAATTATAAAATAAAATATTAAAATATTAAAAATAAAAATAAAAATTGTAAAGATTTTTTTATCAATGAACGTTTTAAAAAATTGAAAATTAGAAATTCATAATTAAAAGAAAAAAAAAACATAAAAACGAAACCCGCGCGTAGCGCGGGTAAAATACCTAGTACTATGAACAAATTTCCTAATTTACATTGCAATGACATATGTCAATTTGAAGAGTTAGGTTTTAAGTTTCCTAATTTCTTTTTGAGTTCGGTGTTGAAAAAGCTTTATATATATATATATATACACTCCCATACGGATACGGGAAGGTACCAAAAACAAGTCTGTGAGAGAGAAGAAACAAGTCTGTGAGTAGTTCATCTTTTTCTCGAAGTAACAAGGCCCAAGAATCAAAAGAAGATGAGTTTTACCTTTGAGATAGATAACTTCTCCGAGAAGGAAGCTGTGATAGAATCACCAAAATTCTCAAGCGGCGCCTGCGACTGGTAAAAGAAATTATTCACTGTTTCGATTTCTTAACTCATCCTCTAACATTCAAACAATATAGCGTTGTGTTTGTTATTAGATGAACAACTAAGGCGTTTAGTTAATCTGTTTCCTCTTTTTTTTTCTAGGTGTCTTGAGGTTTTTCCCAAAGGATATATTATTGATGATCACTTGTCTCTCTACGTCTTTGTTGCGAATCCTGAATCATTACGATATGGATGGGAGAGACGAGCTACTTATTCCTTCGCGCTGTTGAATGAATCAGGCAAAGAGCTCTTCAAAACAAAGGGTACGTAATTCACTTATTTTCCATGTTAGGTTAAATATCTGATTCATGAAGAAGCAAAATTCAATTTAACTTTTTTTTTTTTTTTTTTTTTTTTTTTTTTTTTGACAGAATCATGCAAATTGTTCTGCGATGAGTTCCCAGGATGGGGTTGGACAAAAGCCGTGCCTCTTAAAAAGCTTCACAAGTTTATGGAGAAGAACAAACTGATCGTTAAAGTCAAAGTTAAAGTAGTTGAAGTTGTTGATCAAAGAGATGTCACTGGGGATGAGATGTTTGATATCAGAGGTTTCCAAGTCCCTTATCCTCAGGTATGATTTGATAATTATAAGAATTTTTCTTCTTCTTTAACCGATTCCTTTTCTTGTTAACATAATTAGATCTTTCTCTTGTTGATAGATTATTCCGGTGGGTAGGCTTTTAATTGAACAACCGGAGATTGCTAAAGAATTCAGACTAAAGAACCAACTGGTAAAGACAACATACATGAACATCCTTCTCGGTCTCATAGAGACAATGGAAAAGCCTCCACATAGCATCAAGGAAACTGAGCTAAGCAAAGCTCGCAGCGAGCTGATGGAGCTGACGGAAGCAGGATTCAAGGTTGACTGGTTGAAGACAAAGCTTGATGAGGTTTCCTTGGAGAGGAAGAAAGAAAATACACGAGTCCAAGAACTGGAGAAACTCATGAAGAATCTCACAATTGAACTGAACGAGGAGAAGTTCAAAGCTGATACTTCTGCTGCTAATGTTCTCTCGTTGGAGCAGACGGTGTCGGAACTTGAAGATGAGTTGGCGGAACGTGAAGATGAGGTATCGGATCTTAACGTTAAGCTGAACAAGGAGATGAGGATAAGTGATACTTATGCTGCTAATGTTCTGTCCCTTAAAGCTGAACTGAAGAAGGAGAAGGCCAAGTCTGCTACTTGGGTTGCTAAAGCTATGTCGTTGGATCAGATGGTGTCGGCTCTTCAAGACGAGCTGAAGAAGGAGAAGCACGTATCCGATACTTCTGCTGGTAAGGTTTGGTCGTTGGAACAGAAAGTGTCGGATCTTGAAGATGATCTGAAGAAGGAGAAGCATGGATCTGATACTTCTGCTGCTAAAGTTGTGTTGTTGGAACAGAGAGTGTCGGATCTTAAAGTTGAGGTGTCGGAGCTTGAAGATGAGGTTTCGGAGCTTGAAGATAAGGTGTCGGGTCTTAACAATGAGCTGAACAAAGAGAAGCAGACAGTGTTGAATCTCAGAGCTGAGCTGAAGAAGGAAAAGGCTCCTGCTTGCTCTTGGGAACTATTGGATTACGATAATAGTGAAAACTAGAATATAATTAAGACGTTTTTATTATTATGTTTTCTGTTTTCTTTTATTATTTTCGTCTAAATTTTAAACTGAAACTTTAAGGAATTATGTTTTCTGTTTTCTCTTATTAATCAAGACCTTGGGGGGCTTTATGTTTCGTCTAAATCTCATAAGTAATGTGAGTTGCGGCTAACGTAAACGAAATATTCAAAAAAAGTAATAGTTTCTCCCATAATGAAACAATCACAGCCACATTATGCTTAGAATAAACGGAGCTTAAACCTTTTTTAACACGCTAAATGCTTAACCACGCCGGGTTTAAAAACCAGTACTCTAAAACCATATTGTTGCGGTTTATATTCAAGTTAAGTTAAAAATCCTTTTTAAATCAAAATCCAACTAAACTGAAGGTCTTTGTATTACTGGAGCACTATATTTCTATCCATTTTAAAATATATAAATCTTATATGATTAAAAAATTTATATATCTATATTTTTTTAAAGATGATCTAATGATTCAACTTTCTTACAAATAAAATATAAAAAATATGAGTGAGAAAATATAGTTATTATAAAAGTAATTAATAAAAATATGTATAGATATATCGTATCTTAATATTACCTATTTCCATTATTTGATGTTTCCGGATTATTTTTATGACAGTAAACTAATAAATAATAACTAATTTCCTTTTCTAAATAATGCTATTTAGGAAAAAGCTTATTTCGTTCTTAACATATTTTTTTTTTTAACAATGAATTATGTTTTCTTTTAATAATTTATATATATTTATAAAAAACAATACTAAGGGTAACCTTATAATCAACCATGTTACCTTTTAATCTCAGCTAGATAAATACCGACTCCCAAATAGTATAAGAGATGGTTAGCTTTAAGTTTCCTTATTTCTTTTGAATTAGGATTTGGAAAATCTCTATTATAAATAATTAAGTATCAAAAACAAGTTTGTTAGGAAGTCGTTCTTTTTTCCGCCAATTAACAAAAGCCTAAGAAAAGAGTATGGAGAATCCAAATCAGACGAGTTTCACCTTTGAGATAGATAACTTTTTGGAGAAGAAATCCGTAATACCATCTCCAAAATTCATAAGCGGTGGTTGCGAATGGTAGGAAACGATTTTGTGTCTTACATTCGACAAAACAGCGTTTTGTTAATATGTTTATTTTTCTCTTTTAGGTTTGTTATCGTTTATCCCAAAGGAAAAGATGTTGAAGATCACTTGTCTATGTTTCTCTGTGTTGCGGATCATGGATCACTGAGAGTTGGGTGGAAGAGACGAGCTAGTTTTTCTTTTGCTCTGTTGAATCAATCAGACAAAGAGATCTACAGAATATGTGGTAATTTGATTTGTAGTTTAATTATTAGTAGTACATGTATATATGTATCTGATGATTGTCTAGGAAGAAGATTCAAATTATATTTTTCTGTTTATTCTCTTACAGGGTCAGGCAAATTGTTCTGCGACCAGTTCACAGCCTGGGGTTTGGCGAAAGCTGTGCCTCTTGCAAAGCTTCAAGAAGAAGGGTTTTTGGAGAAGAACAAACTGAGAGTTAAAGTGGAAGTTAAAGTAGTTGAAGTTGTTGATCAAGGAGATGCCACTGGTAATAAGACGTTCGATTTCCATGGTTTCCATGTCCATGGTTCTGAGGTATTGTTAAGTATGAAGAAGTATGCTTCTTCTTTTTATTTTTCTTGGTTAATTGATTCACTTTAATGCTAAACGTAATTGCATATTTGTCTTGTTTTTTAGGTTGTTGCATTGAGCTGGCTTTTCATTGAACACCCGGACTTTGCAGCAAACTTCAGACCGTTGAACGAATCTGTGAAGACAACATGCATGAACCTCCTTCTAGGTCTCATAGAGACACTGAACAGGCCTCCACAAAGCTTATCCAAGTCTGACATAAGAAACTCTCGCAGAAACTTGATCAAGCTAACAGAAGAGGGATTCAAGTTAGATTGGTTAAAGACAAAGCTTTATGTGGTTTACTTGGAGTGGAAGAAAACTAATTCTGATGGTTCTCGAGTCCAAGAACTCGAGGAACAAGTCAAGAATCTCAAACTTGAACTGCAAAACGAGAAGGTCAAATCCGCTGCTAAGGTTTTGTTGTTGAAGCAGACGGTTTTCTTGTTGGAGCAGACGGTGTCGAATCTCAGAGATGAGATTAGCAAACAGTGGGTGGAATGGTGACTTTCTCGAGACCATTCTTAACTCTTGGGAAGTATTGGTTGACGAAGAAGTGGAATAAAAGACTTTTTATTACTATGTTTTCTGTTTTCTGGTTTTTTCTTTTTTTTGTTTTATATATTAGTCAAGAAGTTCCGGATTTTATGGTCGTCTTAATCTCAAATTATATACCAGGAGAGATCGAACTAACTGGTTCCACAAACACACACACACGCGTATAAACGTGTTGTCAAGTCTCTACGCGAATCAATTCTTACTACAAGTACACAAAATCTGCATTCTCTCATTGTGTGGTAGGCAAGAAATAAGCAGGGGTTATATATTTGCACCCTACGACAAAATCTTTGTAATGCAAGTGGAACAAGTCTATTTAACAATCTACTTTTATTTTTTTTCATTATCCGAAAACATTTATAAAGCGAAGAAAAAAAAAACATAGAAACAACAAAAAGAGAGCTCAGAAACAAGGCCAATTATCGTCTGAATAATTCAGAGAGTTGCGAAGGACCAACCATCGCTAAAGCCGAAATTCATCACAGCTCAGTGCACCAGCCGGGAATCGAACCCGGGTCTGTAGCGTGGCAGGGTACTATTCTACCACTAGACCACTGGTGCTGATCTGTCTATCAAACTCTTCAAATATATTCGTAATATAAAAGATTCATTTGATTGAGTGTCTGTCTATTTGTTTCATGTCCAATTTTCTAATTTCAAAACCTTTCCTAGTCTCTGTTAAAAACTCCTAAATTATCATGTGTTTTTAGTTCAACTACAAAAGCACCAAAGACAAAACGTATATATCCATATTTTAATGTATATACTTTGGTTCTGGATCTGAAGGATGTAAAGAAGTCGTATCTCAGAGCATGCTTTAGTTATGAACTTATGATCCTCTGGACCCTAAACCATTTAGAGGGGACCAAGCTCTTCTATGCTTATGAGTTATGGATCAATGATATTAAAAATTAACCTCATCCAGATAAACTCTAAACCACAAAACCAAAAAGTTCAAAGAGAACTTTATTATTTATTAAAAAAACATTATTTACCCGATAAACAAGTTTATAAAGGGAACATTATTTATTAACGAACGGGACAGATAATTAAACAAGTTTCCAAACAATATTATAACATTACATTAAACTTAAAACATTGGAACAAGCACACAACATGATCTTCTTTGTCTTCACATAAAGTTTGGGTGTCCCGATCCGATTCTCCCTCCCATAAATTTCATGTGCTCAACATGTTTCTCTCTTGGAGGAATACAATCCTTAATAAACTCAACCTTCTCCAGATTCTTGACCCATCTGGTGTATTCTGGGAACTTGTGCTCTGGAACCACTTCCAATCCCATTGCTTCCCAAGCTCTTTCCGCACAGAACGGAATCAAACTTCCGATGACTATATCACCGAATGCGAAACTCTTACCTCCGACTCCGAAGTAATTTTTTCCGGCAAGCTCCTTCTCCAGATGCGTAATCAGGTCTCTTGTCTGTACAATCACAACATCATATCCTTTCTCGTCTTGTTTCACCGTTGATACATAACCGTTACCGTTAATCTGCAATGTTTGAGATAAGATTACAAATTGGTTTAGTAATAATTAATTAGCTAACTATTCTATGTTTTTGTAACCAAACTGATTAAAGTTTTGAGATCCTTGTCAAAACATGTTGGATTAATAAAAATTCAAAATTAAACATTTTATTATATTTCTATTAAATCCCAAAACCTAATATCAACCAAATACACAATTTGGCAAATTTTACAAACCTTCTCATCGACGAGTTTACCCAAGAATCGAGCCTTGGATCTCTCATAAGGATCTTGAGGGAGAACCGGATTGTGTTTCCAAAGTCTCTGGTGTGAAGACATTTACAGATCATGACAACGCAAGCTTTAACATAACCGGTTCTACAAGTACCAAATCGCATCCCTTCATAATTATCACTATGTTTTGGTTTCCAGTATCTTTCTTGGATAAGATCTTTTGTGTGAGCAGGTAAAATAATCGCTGGAGGATTCGTGAGTATGAGAGTAAAATTAGGCATAATAACTGTCATGGTAAAGCAATTCGATCTCAGTGAATTGATCACGTGCCCTGTTGCACCTGGCGCCGTCGTGCTTCGTTTTGACAAATTGTTTCCTTACCACCATTCAGGGGTAAGGTTTCTTACATTTATGTTTTGATAAATTTTAAATTGCGTTACACTTACACTTTAGAATCTGTATATGCGTATTGTGCACATCGTCTAAAAGTTAACACTTCTTTGGTTTCTGAATAATTGCTTCATCACAATCACTTGCCGATTCAGTTTTTTTGTTTGTTTGTTGTAATTATGCTTTAACCCTAAGATATGTTGGCAACTATTAATAGTAGTTTCTGACTAGTTATTGTCTTCTTTCTAAAACCACCATTTGGTTTGGTTGAGACCTTTTTTAAGGCGATTCTCAAAATACCACAAAATAAGTTTTTGTTTTAAAATTACCATCTTCCAAAAATACCACAAAAATTATATTTTCCTAAAGTGCCACAAAACTAAAACTAAACTTTAAACCTCAAACTTTAAACCTCAAAGCTTCATCTCAAACCTTCAAAAATAAACAATAGATCCTAAAAAATAAACCCTCAATCCAAACCCATACATTTAAATTATAAACTCTTAAAAAACTTTTTTGTGTTTATGGTATTTTTGGAAAACCAAACTATTTATAGATATTTTTAGAAACAAAAAATTATTGATGGTACTTTTGGAACAAAACTTACATATTATAAGGTAATCCTTTTTTTGTTTAATCAACAATCTAATTAAAATTAGCTGTCTATTCTTGGAGGAAAAGTGTACTACTACATATGGTAGGTCTCTTTAACTCTCTTTACTTTACATCTACAGCCGAGTCTCAAAGTTAACATACACATCTATGAGGACCTGGGTGATGAAGATGAAGATGAAATACTGTGTCTCGACTTCAGTTACCAGACTTCAAGTACTGCCTCGGTCTCTTCTTAGTCAAGTTTCTGGGCTAAGTCTCTACGCGAAGCAATTCTTACTACTAGTACACAAAATCTGCATTCTCTGTTTGTGTGGTATCCAAGAAATAAGCAAGGGTTAAAATACACCCTAAGACAATCTTTGTAATGGAGCAAGTCTATTTGACAATCTACTTTTCTTTTTTTCTTTATCCGAAAATATTTATAAAGCAAAACAAACAGCAAAAAGAGAGCTCAGTTACAAGGCCATTTAACGTCAGAGTTATCAGAGAGATGCGAAGGACCAAGCTTCGCTATAGCCGAAATTCATCATAGCTCAATGCACCAGCCGGGAATCGAACCCGGGTCTGTACCGTGGCAGGGTACTATTCTACCACTAGACCACTGGTGCTGATCCGTATTAATCTCTTTAAATATATGCCTAATATCAAAGATTCATTTGATTGAGTGTCTGTATTTGTTTCATGTCCGATATTTGAATGTCAAAACCTTTCATAGTCTCTGTTAAAATGAAGAGACGACAATGTCTGAAATCCGTTCTGGTTGGTCCAACCTTTCTCCTGATATTTTACGATCGATCCTCGAAGTCTTAAGCACTCAGGATTTTCATCGAGCAAGAACCGTTTGCTCAAACTGGTACTCCGTCTCAAGAACATTCACAAGACCTCTGTATCCATGGAGAGTTGTATTCGACAAGCATTCTACATTTGTACACGATCCAGGAGAAAACAAGACTCGAAAAATAGATCATCCCGGACTCAACTTATCCAACCCAAATCATGGGTAATTGCAGCAACTGGTTCCTGATTTCAGATTTTCGTTTAGACTTTCGTTTAGATTTCTATCTTCTGAACGTGTTCACTAGCGAGAGGATCAGTTTTACATCTATGGACGTGGTTTCATTACTTCCTGTTGAAGCGATTTGGGAATGTTTCAAGGAGCTTACGAACAAGAACAACGTCTCTTCCAGAAACTCGGCTTCTTGTCTTTGGATAAACGAGAGGACAAGAGATTACGTTGTAGCTTGGAGTAAATAAAACCTCTTGTTCACGTGCAAGAAAGGAGACGATCCCTGGAGTCACCAAGGCACAGATTGTGTATCCATGGCGTATAAAGATGACAAGCTTTACGTGTATACGTTAGATCATTGCATCAAGATTCTTGATTTGTCATCTAAAGAAGTCACTTATCGTAACAATATGTTTCACATTGTTTTGCAACTTGGGGTACTTATTTGGAAGACGAGGATAGCGATTGCGAGCACAGGGGAGGTTTTGATAGTTCTTAGCTTAAAATGGTTTTCAGAGGAACGTTTCTTTCACATCTACAAGATGAATATAGAAAGTGGTGAGTGGGAGAGAATAGATTCTCTTGAAGGTGAGATGTTGATATTTGGTTATGGGGTCACAGTAAGAGCACCGATCAAAGACTCTAGAGTGATTCAATCTATTTCCGTGGTGAAGTTGATCTTTGGCCAAGTCGTTTGAATCACAAGATAAGAACTATTAGTGAATGTGTGTTTGATCTTACAACAACAAGATTCACATCATTAGGTGTTCCGTTGAAGAGTTTCTGGTTTGTTCCAGGATATGCTTAAGTCTAATTAAAGATCCCAAATAGTTTCTGCTAAGTTATTTTACTACTCTGGCTTTTGGATGTACTGTATTAGCTATTGTGATTGTTCTAGGCTTTTATTTTTGCAGATTTATCATATGGATTATTGTTGGCCAAGGACGTGTCTTTGTTACGCTTAATTGTCTTTGTTACGCTTAATTATTAAGTTTGTGTCATACCAAAACAAACTTATAATATGTACAGTATTAAGAGGACTGATTAGTTTTATCAGTTTCCTTGTTTCTATTGAATTAGGATTTTGAAAAGCTATATAAATTATACTGGTTTGTGGGCGAAGTACCTAAAAACAAGTCCAGGAGAAATTTAATCTGTCTTTTGCTCGAAGTAACAAACCCTAAAAACAGAATATGGAGGAAAAGCAGACAAGCTTCACGTTTGAGATAGATAACTTCTTGGAGAAGGAAGCTGTGATAGAATCTCCAAAATTCACAAGCGGCGGCTGCGAATGGTACAAGAAAATATTTTATACATATGTTTTGATACTTAACTCATCCTATAGATTCATCATTCAACAAAATAACTGGTCTTTGGCTCATTGTTATGAGGTGTACAACTAAAGCGTTTAGTTAATGTGTTTCTCTCTTCTTCTTTTTTCAGGTTTGTTAGGGTTCATCCCAAATGGGGTGATGGCTTGTCTCTGAAACTCTGTGTTGCTAATCCTGAATCATTACGACTTGGATGGAAAAGACGAGCTAGTTTTTCCTTTGTTCTATTAGATCAATCAAGCAAAGAGCTCTACCGAACACCTGGTAATTAGCTAATGAGACGTATACTATACATAGATGACCGGTGAAGAAATTTTTTTTATTTAATAAGTATATCTGTTTTTGTCTTGCAGAATGGTACAACTTGTTCTGCGCTCAGATCTCAACATGGGGTTTTTTCTTCCCTCGAAAAAACGTTCAAGAGAAAGTGTGTTTGGAGAAGAATAAACTTATCTTTAAAGTGGAAGTAAAAGTAGTTGAAGTTGTTGATGAAGGAGATGTCACTGGGAATGAGACGTTCAATGTAAATGGTTTCCAAGTTCTTGGTTCTCAGGTACTGTTTATAAATTTGCTTCGTGTTGTTGTTTTTTTTTTGTTTTTTTTTTTCTGGTTAACATAATCACAAATTTACCTGTTGACAGGTTGATTCAGTGCTTCGGCTTTTCAAGCAACACCCGGATATTGCAATAAATTTCAGACCAAATAGCCAATTGATGAAGACAACATACATGAATCTCCTTCTCAGTCTCATCGAGACACTGAACAAGCCTCCACATAGCTTATCTGTGACTGAGCTAAGCAACGCTCACAGCGAGTTGATTGATCTAACAAACGTGGGATTCAAGCTAGACTGGTTGGGAACAAAGTTTGATGAGGTTTCCTTGGAGAGGAAGAAAGAAAATGGTGATGTGTCTCGAGTTCAAGAACTCGAGGAACACATCAAGAAACTCAAACTTGAACTGGACAAGGAGTATGTCAACTATGCTACTTATGGTGCTAAAATTTGTTCTTCGGAGAAGACGATGTGGAAGCTCCAATGTGAGCTGAACGATGCGAAGGACATAGCCGCTGCTAAAGACAGAGATTTTCCTAAGGCTGCTAGAGACAAAGAGTTGCGAGAAGCTGCTAAAGATGAAGAGTTAGGAGAGACTGCTAAAGACTTGCGCGAGTCTCTTGTTCACTCTTGGAATGAGTGGAAAGTAAGATTGGGATTTGCTGATTTTCGTTATGAAAAAATATAGACAAAAATATATTTTATTGTTATGCTTTTTCTGGTGCTTGTTTTAGAATCTTATAAAGCAGAACCAAGTCGTTTAGCAACTCTGACATTTTGGATTTATTAACCATATTGGGATTCTTCTAGGGTTTTATTTTTTTGCAGATTTATCATAAGATTTTTTAAGGAATTTCTTGGTCTAATTCTAAGAGAAGTCTTACTGAGCAATATAATTAAGCTCGAAGAGATCAATATCACATTTCTAGGAAAAACTCATATGATTAATTATTTCAGATAAACTATCCAACACTAAAATTACTGCAAATCTTCCTTAACCATATTAACTTCAAAATTGCATTTGCAAACCTTCCTAAACGATCTTAACAAAAGCGAATTGCTGTAGATGTTTACACAAAAATTGATTTCATCCTTTAAATTAAGTATGTTATTTATCCTTTTCAAACTTCTACCGAATCCAGAAAAAAAGAACAAAAAAAAAAAAAACTTTTTTTCTTTTTCTTATATAACACTGATATACATTATTCTTTCTTTTGACTATGTATAGCCATATACTGTATACCGGATCTCCAAATAGGCAAATATTGTTGGATGAAAAAAAGGGGTACAATTCCGGATGTGCAATGTCTGCTATACGCTTAGGTTACTGATTTTGTGTCAACAAACTTATAACTCTTGTTACATTCATGAAGAGGGCTGGTTTCCAAAAATCCTTTATTCTTAGGTATGATTTCTTTATAAGTATGCTTCGTCTTGTTGTTTTTTTTTTTTTTTTTTCCTTCAGCTGATCCCCTTTTCTGGCTAATATAATTACATATTTTACTTGTTGATAGGCTGCTTCAGTGAGTGAGCTTTTCAGGAAGCAACTAAATCTCAGCTGATCCCCTTTTCTTGCTGATATTGCAGTAAATCTCAGACTAACGAACCAATTGGTGAAGACAATATACATGAATATTCTCCTCGGTCTCATGGAGACACTGAACAAGCCTAACATTTCCGAGACTGATTTAAGCAACGCTCGCAGCGAGTTGATCAAGCTAACAGAAGCAGGCTTTAGGCTAGACTGGTTGAAGACAAAGCTTGATGACGTTTGCTTGGAAACCAAGAAAGAAAAGGGTGATGTATCTAGAGTCCAAGAACAGATCAGACTAAAATACGTTTTATTAGTATGTTTTTTTTTCGTTTTATGTTTTGTTTTATACTAGTGTTTCTACCCGTGCTGACGCACGGGTCAATTTTTATTTGTTAATCTGAAACAGTTTTTCATAAAATTTTCTTTTCACAAACTACGTGATAACTAAAAAGCTACGAAATGTAGTTTTTATATAACTTAACGTTTTAATAAAGGCCTAGAAAAATATGTTTTCTTTATCAATGATGTAATGATTCCCTAAAATTCTATAACTAACTAACTTCTATTTTTTATTTTGTTAAGTGTTACATATTGTATAGTTAGGCGAAAGAGAAAAATAAAATGATATCACTTGCATTATAAACCCCTAAATGGGAAACAGTAGGAAAAACAAAAATGAACTAAAACATTAGAAACAAAGAGGTCCTAATCTCTCTCTCTCACACACACACCAACTGAAAAATACAACACGTTGAGTTCCTATTAAAAAACACATTTGTAATAGTCATACAGACATGTTCAAGTGATAGCTAACGCCTTCACAATTATCTCTCCAATGCGATACACAACATAATCTCCATTCTCATCTTCTCCAAGTACTCCGAGCTGCTTCTCGAGTTACCTGTGAAAACTCGGGGAATGTTGTCTGTGGAACCTCCATCAGTTATATGACTATATGAGCTAAAAAACCCTTAACACCTACTTTGCTGATAAAGCCAAATACCTGCAGATAAAGAAAGAAAAAGTCATGGAATTGCCTAAAGAAGATGTGATGGACTTTTTGGCTGACAAAGAACAAAAACAAACCAACCTGGTTCACGTAAATGACAGTGTGTGCCATTAAAGCTTCACCAAGAGTATATGATCCGCCTGGAAGCTCATCTTTCAGTAAAAGACTACCTGCAACAATTGTGGTCTTTAAGCTTTACTCATTCAGGTGACATAACAATAGACTACATTCTTCCTGATGTCATATTATGATATTATCAATAACTTACTAAAGAGAAACCATTAGAATGAATACCGCTAGAAGGGAGGCCAATAAGAACATCTCCAGCCACTATGCTTTTCCCGTTTATAACCGATTCTTTCTTTACTATGCCTACTGCAAACTCGATTAGGGCCCTGTTCGTTTGCTCATCCAGCTGATCCATCTGGATGAGGTAGTTGGATGATGTTCGTTTAATACAAAAAATGAGCATCATTCAGCTGATCCATCTAGATGGATCATCTCAAATCTAAAAAATTAGGCTAGATGGATCCTGCCAATACCGCGAAATAATGTTTTCCTTTGAATTCACAAAATAATGTTTTTCCGCCGAAATAGCAAAAATCATTTTTCCCGCCAAAACCGTGAAATATCGTTTTTTCCGCCAAAACCGTGAAATATCATTTTCCGCCGAAAAGTAAAATAACTTTTTCCCGCCAAAACCATAAAATTACGTTTTCGCAAAAACCGCAAAAAATCATATTTTCCGCCAAAACCTAGAAATTGAGTTTGTCTGGCGAAACCGCAAAACCGCGAAATTTTCACCAAAATACGTTTTCCTGCCAAAACTGTAAGATTGCAGTTTTCCGCTTAAACCGTAAGATCATATATTTTTGCCGAAACCGCGAAATCGAGTTTTCCCGTTTAAACTGAAAAATCATGTTTTTCTATTGAAATCACAAAATCGTGGGTTTCTGCTTGAAATGCAAAGTTACAAAACTTCCACCGAAACAGTGAAATTACGTTTTGCGTTCAAAACCGCAAAATCGCAGTTTTCCACTTAAACCGCAAATTCATATTTTTTCTGCCAAAACCGCAAAATCGCATTTTCCGATGGGAAATCCTGTTTTTATTGCAGATATCAAAATCGTGTTTTTGTTGCTATAATTGCGTGAAGTTGTAATTTTGGCCAAAACTGCGAAATTTTGTTTTTCTGTCAAAACCGCAAATTTACATTTTTGGCAAAATTGTGAAATTACGTTTTATGGTTTTGATATTATTTAAGTTGATATGGTTAGAAAATTAATTTAGTTAATAAAACTTTGATTGGATAAAAAAAGTATGGGTATTTTCGTTATTATCCATTAAAAGTATTTGGCTGATCCATCTAAGTGAGAAAAAGAACAAAAGATTCATCTGACTGATCCATTCGGCTGATCTATCTAGCTGAGAGTAAAAAAAAGTGAACAACATCTGGTTGGATCATCTGACTGAACCATCTGGCTGGATCATCTAGCTTGATCAGCCAACTGTTCAAACGAACAAGATCGTACTTGCCTTCTGCATTAAAAGCGGGCATCTTTGCAATCTGAAACCAACCAAAGCAAAATTATGGAACGATGCATAAACTACATTGTCAACTGCTAGGAACTGAGTCTAACTGTGTAAAACATACATAAACATACATAACTGTCGAACTGTGCTCTCTTAGGAAAGATGCATAAACTACATTGATTTCCCACAACCATCAACAATACCTTTGATAACCTGGAAACAAAGCAAAAGGTTTGTAGATCAATTTCAAGTCTCAAAGCAAGCTAAAAAGGGGAGGAAGAGCTGAAGCAACGATACCTTTTCTGTAAGTTTACAACTCAAATTCAAGACTCATAAGCTCTAATTTTCCATTCATTTGAGTTTAGACACAAGAGTATACTCAAGTGGTATTATTAACCTGAGAAAAGATGAAGGAATCAGACAGTAATTAGATGATAAAAACACGAAATGAGTATAATACATTCAAACAGAAAGATACATGTAAATAATAATTTTGGCTCTACTCGGTTCATCAGAAAAGAGATATAGGGATAACCAAATTCGAAGACCAGAAACAACACTCAGAGATGATGAATCTGAGAAAACGTATTATGAATTGAGAAATCTTTGGTGATATCGAATTTGAATCAGAATTGTGACTTTGAAGAGATGAGAGAGAAAACGTATGGATGAAAAACCCAGAAATAAAAGCTTGAATCCTGTCTATCCCACTCATGATATCACGAAATTCGCCTTCCTTGAATTGGTTTCTGAATCTTGTCTATCCCACTCATTGAATCTTGTCTGTCTCCCTGTCAACTCAGTAAAATCGAAACTCAGATTTCTAACAAAGGCAAAATAGACAGAAAACAGTAAAATCAATAATGCTATACACAGAGATGATTACCTTTTCAACAGTTTGTATGAAAGTATGAAAATTACTCTCGGTTTGAAAGTGTACTGATCAGATCTTGAATGAGACGATGACGGGAAAACAGAGAGAAAAAAAAAGGGACGAAAAAATTGAAACTTATAAAAAGACATACTTTTACAGGAGATGATTTAGATTCATGGAAGATCATGATTTACAGTTTGTTTTTCAACACGATCGTGAAGGTGGTGAGTTAAGGAACGTATAAATTAGGGATGTTTGCCAAAAAGAAGTTATTGAGATCGTGTTCTTTTGCAAGGTCATTTATGATATTCTTGTTGTTTGATTTAATAACCCGATTTGTTTTTAAAATGATTAACATTACACGTAATTAACTTAAACTGATTAGCGTTTTTTTCCTTTAAACTTGCCACATGTCGGTTTACCATTGGTGAAGTGACTTGTGCTTTAGTATATTAGGGATTTTGTTTTACTCGATTATATATTTTAAACCCTTTACAAATAATGATCTAACTCGAATAAAAGCAATTTTCAATTTGGTTCCTTAGAAAAAAAAAAAAATATTGGATAATATGTAATCGTTATCTTTGTGATTACGGCATGCAGATCGATAAGATATAATTAAAAAGAAAATTTAGGCGATTATATCTCTTATACATCCGCGAACAAGCTGGAGTTAGTTTTGAACTTTTTTTCTTTTTAATTGTTCAATTCAAAAGATGTCAAGTTTGTTTCGCTCAATCCCACCAAAATATGGCCTTTACTTTGTTCAAATCCAAAATCAATAATATATTCCAACAAAAAAAATAAGATGAAAACATGAAATACCAACAAACCCTAAACAAAGGAAAAATATTTTTTAACGAAAACTTGCTATCTTGTTGGCTAGGCCCTGATCAGAACGCCGTCACGTCCTAGGCTGCCGGCGCAGCAGGAGGAGGATACGGTGGTATAATCATGACATTAACACCCCCGAGGATGTAATACCGAGAGGGTCTCTTACACCTCACGCAAAGCCTAGCCCTAACATGAGGCACGGAAGGATGATTAACTCGATCGCAATTATCGCAGAGAAGAGAGTGGTGATGGTGACAGTAAACGACAGCGTTTGAAGCTTTGCACTCTTCACAGTCCATTGCAAACATCCATCTCTCGCAATCATTATCCCCAACGCAGACTTCTCCAAACATCCATCTTTTTCTCTGGTTGTAATGACCCACATGCTCATGCTCATTATGCTGAGGATTCTGAGGATGAGGATGCTGAGGATGCCGATTATTGTGATTATTAGGGTGTTGTTGTTGATGAGGCAAGCTGTTGATGATTTGGTTGCGGTGGCCATAGGAGGCGCAATTGTACCGTTGTGAATAGCAAGATTGGCAAAGAGAGAGCCGGTGATCAAAGCAGAGGAGTAAAGCTGGATTATTCATGCAACTATTGCAGATTTGGTAACGTACGTGCCCTACTTCTCCTGCTCCTTCTCCCCCTGCATCACGTTGATCACAATGCTGAAGGTAGTCACAAGTAAAGCACAAGTTCTGTCCTTCTGTAAGACAATGGATCACTGGTGTTGTACGTGTACATGTGTGACACACTTGTGCCATGTTTCCTGTCACAAAAAAAAAAAAAAAGATTACATCAATGTAACAAAATGGGAGAGAGGCTGTGAAATGAACAAGGAGAAGAGAAGCAGAAGGTTTTGCTTTTTTACCTGAAGTTTGTTAAAATGTAGCTAAGTAGATCTCTTTACATATTTATGTATATAATCATTTTCCGTTTTTTTTTTAAGAAAAGTGTATATAAGAAAAATAAGAAAATCTAAAAACTTCCTATATTTTCTGAGAAATGCAAAAGTGAAAACTAACTTTTAATTTTGAGCATTCGGTTGTTAAAGGAAGATCTTTTAAAAATTATTTAAGCTAAAAAAAATCATAGGCACATGGATATGAGGGAAGAAAAACAATAACTTAATTTAATTTGTGTCCTTCATTCACAAAACGGGAGATTACATGAATATTATGATCATCAATGTAACAAAATGGGAGAGAAACTGTGAAATTAACAAGGAGAAGAGAAGCAGAAGGTTTTGCTGTTTTTACCTGAAGTTTGTTGAATTCTAGCTAATTTGATCTCTTTACATATTTATGTATATAACCATTTTCCGGATATTTTTTTTTAAAGAAAACTGTATATAAGATAACTAAGAAAATCTAAAACCTTCCTATATTTTCTGAGAACTGCAAAAGTGAAAACTAACTTTTAACTCTGAGCATTCGGTTGTTAACGGAAGATCTTTTAAGAAAATGTGTAAGCTAAAAAAAAATCATAGGCAATCTTATATCTTCTATGATATGATAATTTCATAATTTTGTGTCTTTCATTTGTAAATCATAGGCAATCTTATATCTTTCTTCTATGATATGATAATTTCATAATTTTGTGTCTTTCATTTGTAAATCATAGGCAATCTTATATCATGCAATTTTCGAACTGGGTCCATTTTGGAAACTTTTTTAAAAGAATTTGGATCTTTCCACATATACCACAAAAATGAGTTTTAGGACAATTCTTTAAAATACCACATTTTTGGAACTTTTAGGAAAATTCTGAAAAATACCACAAAAATAAGTTTTTGTTCTAAATTTATCACTGCTAATTTTTTTTTTTCAGAAAAAAACACAACATACGTTTCATTTTTTTTTTAAAATACCACAAAACTAAAACTAAAATTTAAACTGTCCAAACCAAACTTAAGACTCCCAAAAATAAATCATCAACCCTAAAACAAAACTTTAAACCCAAATACTTAATCCAAACCAAATTAATTATTTAAATTGTAATCATTAATTAAATGTAACCGTATTTAACTAAACGATTAAAGTTAATGTTAAAAAGGATTATAACAGGAAATTTTAATCTAATCTTTCTATCTTGACCAGTGGGATCTCATTCTGGATGGGATGATTTTGTGATTCAGCGAAGACACTTCGTATCCTGGTTAAATTATGGATTTTGTGCAAAAAAAACCCTTCAACTAAATTCTTTTTGCAAATCAAACTCTCAATTAAAAACTGTACAAATATAAATCATGAACTCAAAATAACCCGCAATATAAGACCTCTGTATATTTGTGACCAAATTGAAAATGATTTTGTACAAAAAACCACCAATTAAATTCTTTTTGCAAATTTAATCCCAAATTTGAAAAATGTGCAGACTAAACCTGTAAAATAGAAAGTTAGCGTCAAAGTCATGCACATTTTGGGTTTTGGGACGGGTATTGATGGATATGGAACATTCGGGAATCAAACTATACTACCCAAAGTATTACCTTATGATAACGGGACGAGAAATGACGGAAACGGAAAGTTTGGAGCTAAAAAATATAAACCCAGAGTCTTACTAAATCGAAAAAATTGAAAAGATATCGAGAAAATATGGAAAAATACGGGAAATTTTAGGAAAATGCAAGAACTATTCAAATATTATTAATATTTTTTCATAAATTTTCCGATATTTCTTGCATTTCCCGAAAGTTTTGATATTTTTGCGTATTATCCTCAGAGGGAACGAGATTCCCTTTCTGTAACTCATAGGCCTGTCTTAAAAGGAACAAGATTCCCTTTCCGAAATGCATAGGCCTATGTCCAAAACTTTATGTTCCTCTTATTTTCCGTCCCGTTATTATAAGAGAATACTTTGAGTAGTATAATTTGACTAACGAATGTTTCGTAATTTTTGTCAATCCCCATCCCAAAACCCGAAAATTTACATGATTTTAACTGTGATTTTTGACTTTGCAAGTTTGGCTTATATTTTTTAACTTATGAGTTGAATTTGCAAAAGAATTTAGTTGATGGGTTTTTTTACACAAAATTATTTTCAATTTCGTTATAAATATAAAATAATTCCTATATTGCATAATTCTTTTGACTTCAAGGTTTATTTTGCACAGTTTTTAACAAGAGTTTGATTTGTTTGAGGGGTTTTTGGCACAAAAACCTTAAATTATTAGGACTTGAGCGGAATTAAGGTTTACCATTAAAACACCGAATGTCTCTTTTCGTCCCTTTTCCAATCCATTTCTCATCCTTTGCGATTCAGGCGGCGACGATCGCACCTATCACCGCCGGCGCTTCATTCACACCTTCTCATCCCTTTGCCCAGAGAATCAGATGCGAATCAGAGAGAATCCTTGCATCTCGCGAGCGTCTTCTCCGATGAACCCAGACGACTCTGATAAGCTTCTTCGCCCAGAAGTTATTCCGACGAGCCGCCGTTCGTCCTCCGCGAAGCCTGCTCCGCTTACCGGTTGACCGCGAGCTTCTGTACGCTGATTCATCTTCTTCAATATGAAGATGAAATCTGAAAAAGCTCCACCGCCGGGCATTCCTTCGCCGCCGTGATTTTCACCATCTCAGGTAATAATCTCAGACTCACATATTAGACCTATTAGAGCTAAGTCCGCATCGCGCGGGTTGTGACTATTACATTGTTTTGTTACTTGTATTTTAATTGTCATTTGAATTTTGTAAATATTTTGTCTTTTATATTTTTTTCAGATATGCTAATGTGCGATCGAAAGATAAATGTATATTGCTCCTTATTTTCTCTAAAATCAAATTTCATAAAATGTTTGCGATAAGCCTGAGACTTTTAACCTATACGAACCGTACCGACCCAAAATACTCATACCGATTGATTTTGAGTATATAATAAATCACTAATTAAGTAAATATTTAATACTTTTGGATAATATTCGAACCAAACAGGTATCTCCAAATTATAGTATTATGGATTATTGTTGATATTATATATAACTTCTTTATGTTGTTTCGTTTTTTTCTTTTTTTTCAGATATATTTCCAGTATTTTAAAATTTATAGGAATCATTTTTTCTCACATTTGTGGCCATTTGTAGCCTACTTATGTCACCACCCTTTACATATGTATTATATATGTGAGTGTGTTTGCACTTTCTGAATATTTTAAGATTTTCTGTGAATACATATTCTTTAAAGAATTTGGTTACGAATGTGGATCGGTTTTTCGATTCTTGGTATACATATGTATATGAAAAAAACAATTGTAAATATTATAAATCTTTCTAAATAGACGGAGATATATACATGTGCATTATATTTAAAATAAGTGCAAAAAAATGAGGGTGTTACTGAATGTTTGAATTTTGAATGAAAAAAACTAAATTTACATATATATTTTTCAATTGTTTTAATGCGTACAAAATTTGTCTCAATTAGTGAATATAAAAATAATATTTTATAAGCGATTAAAAGTTGTATACAGATAGATAACAGATGTTACAATTAGAAGATATAAATTTTTCACAGAAAGAAATTTGCATACACCAAGGATTTCAAGAACGTGGAGCTGCCATTTGCTGCTTCTTCACCATGCGGTAACAGAGCAAGAGAAACAGAGAGAAGAGTGAATTTCAAGTTAACATAGATCCACTTCACAAACAGAGTCCATTGAATTGATTTGTTACTTCATATAATGAGGAGTGATGAACATCCACTGCGATCCTTGTCCAATTGCAAAATCAAGAAGTGCATCCAAGCTGATTTTCCAGCTCACTGCATCCTCGATTTCAAGAAAGTTCAAAAAACATTTGTCTCAGCAGTCTCCATCCCAATATAATACTTGTAAAGAGAGGATAATGGGGACGGCGGGATTCAAGATAAAAACAAAAACAAGATCGAATGCGAAATTCTAAAGAAAACATAAACGCAAGAAGACATTAAATAAAAAGAGCAGTGGTGAATCGATAGACTATTGAGCTCCGAGTTCGAGAAGTAGAGGTCCCGTGAACTGGATCGGACCTGCAAGTCGCAAGGAAACGATAAGAATCGGGAAAAAACAGATGTTTTGTTCAAAACAAAGATTGTGTCTAACGAACCTGGGATGTATCTGTTCTTCAATGCCCATTCCTGACGCAGCGATGAGAATTTCTTAAATGGAGCACCTGCACATTCCAAAAAAAAAAACTCAGTAAGACCACTAAAACGGAGCATCAAAAACCATGAGAAGAGAAGGGAATGAAAAGGTCTCACTTTTCTTTCTTGATCACAGGCTTGAACTTACCTGCAAGTTGAAATCAACTCATGCTTTTAATATCTTGAATGGATATCTTAGAGAATAATAAAATAAGCTTGTCTTTGTTTAGATTCATACCATGTATCCTCTCTACAGCCATCAGAGCAGTTCCACCGATAGTCCATTCTTCCACAGGAGCTGCCAAGTTTCCGGCCTGCGCCAATTAAGTTACTCATCTCATTCTAACCGCTGCGGTTTGATCTTTACCTTCAGTAAGAGCGTAGTGTGCACAGTCGAAATCCATGGCGGATCTGTTCGGTATAAATCTGTCACAGTGGTTGATCAGAAAAGAAAATCAGCACAATTCATTCATCTATCACCAATCTGAAATCTTTGACCATCAAATGTATGTAAGAAACACCGATTGAAATCCATGATTCTTTAATTGTGACAAAACCAACTAAATCGTACTCGGACCTAAAAGTAACTCTTCGAAAGTATAAGAAGAGGTTCGTCGAGCGAGAGACTTACCGGAATCCATGGCGGCTGGTGGATAATCGGAAGAGGAATTCAGTGAGTCCCCGATAGCAAGAGAGGTGAAGACGATGAAAGCCGACGTCTGGGGAGTGATGGCCGCGTGTGAAACAGCTTCAGCCTCGGAGAAGACAACATGGTTTGTGTCATTTTGGGCCAATGCGTCATTTTGGGCCAATATGTTATTTTGGGCCAATTAATCATTTCTTATTAAAAGGAAATAGGGCATAAATCGACGTTAGTACCGTTAGTTTAAACCGTACTAAGAGAATATTTCGGTTCAAACCGGTTAACGCGGATTAAACACCCAAAATTATCGAAACCTAAGCAGACCGATTTGCAAAAGTCTGTCTTCTCCAATCTGCTGAAAATGAGATTTATGACATCGGCCGCCGCTGAACTTTCCCGATGTGGGGCTCTTGGAGACGGCCGAGCTTGGTGGACGCCGTCGAGGAGCGAAATCTCCTCTCCGCCGCTTACGAAAACGTGATCGGCGCTCGCCATGCCTCGTGGAGGATCATCTCCTCGATCGAGCAGAAGGAAGAGAGCCGCGGCAACGTTGACCACATCAACACGATCCACGATTACAAGACGAAGATCGAGTCGGAGCTATCCGGGATCTGCGACGGGATCCTCATGCTGCTCGAATCTACGCTCATCCCTTCCGGCGACTCCAAGGTCTTCTACCTCAAGATGAAGGGCGATTACTTCAGGTATTTGGCCGAGTTTAAGATCGGCGCCGAGAGAGAAGCTGCTGCCGATAGCACCCTCTCTGCCTACAAGTCTGCTCAGGTTTGTATTTCTAATTTCAGATCTACTCGGTTTTGTGCTTCTTTTTACAGTGTTTCATTGATTTGGATTTAACATACAATATTTTCTGCTATATTTTTGTTATATTGCAACAATTACATTCAATGGTTCATGGATGTGAATTCAACATATATTCTGCTAGTTTTTTGTTATATTGCAACGATTTCAATCAATTGATTGATTCTCATATCCATTTGTTTTAATATCTGATTGTGGATTAGACTTAGATTCTGTATCGTTTAGGCTTTCTGTGGAATTGTATTCAATAGCTTTGGTTACTTTTCTGGATTTGGATTTAGATTATATTTTGATTATGTATCGTTTTTTTGTACCAGGAAGATGAAGTGATTTTTGGTGCGAGGAAGATTGAAGCGTGAAAAATATTTTTAAAAATTGAGAGATGCACGTGTCAGCAGGATGGAGAGTGTTATCCAAATAAGATTTCGGATTTGGGCTTTTAGTTGGGCCCATTTACTCACATTTTCGAAATACATATGCATCATAGGCATAGATGGACCCGATTCGTGGATATGGATCATCCGGGTCAAAAAGAAGACCCGGTTCATGGACCCGACCCGATCCAATATCTCAGTGACACGTCAGCGTGTATATCAGGTCACTTTATTTAACTTCATAAATTTTTTTTCTCTGGCGGGCTCTGTTTCTTCTGCTACTCTAAACAAGTTTTCTTGCAGACTCTAAAAACGTTTTCTTGCTGCGACGATTGACGAAGATCAGTTGTGGACGATTGACGAAGATCAGTTGTGTGCAATCATCGCCATCCTTCCTTGTTAGTCTGTAAGTCTCCTCTTCTTCATCGTGGTTCCAATAGCTTTTCTGCAACATATGCTTCTTGTGATCCTCTGTTTTTTCGGATGTCTCTTGGTTATTCATAGCACATGCTTCTTCTTCTTCTGGGTTTTGATCAGTTTGTTAATGCTTCCTCTGTTGAATCAAAAATCTTGGGTTTTACGTTGTGTCTTTGTTTGTATAATCGCACATACTTCCTCTTGTGATCCTCTGTTTTTTTTCGGATATCTCTTGGTTCTTCATAGCACATGGTTCTTCTTCTTCTGGGTTTTGATCAGTTTGTTAATGCTTCCTCTGTTAAATCGAAAATCTTGGGTTTTACATCGCACATACTTCGTCTTGTGATCCTCTGTTTTTTTCGGATGTCTCTTGGTTCTTTAAAGCACATGCTTCTTCTTCTTCTGTGTTTTGATTAATATGTTAATGCTTCCTCTGTAAATCGAAAATCGAAAATCTTTGGTTTGTTAAGTTGCGTTCTCTGTAAAATCGAATCTTGGGGTGAAGTACACTGTCTCTTTGGTTTTTTTTTTTTAATCGCATATGCTTCTTAATCAATCTTCCTCTTGGTTTTGTTCTGCATTTTTTGGTTTACCGTTCTGATAGACTAGGTTTATTCACAGGTCATATCGCAGTAAAGAAATGTTTCCACAGCCTTACTTCTGCTGGACTGAGCGTGGGCCTAGAAACTGCCTCAATGCGACCTTCCAACCAATAGAGCAATTACAACATGTACATTGGCATTCTCCTCTATGTGGTCGATGCAGACAAAGTCCTGGGCTGATTCGGTGTGTATCAGAATCACTGATTCTCTGTACAGCAAGTTTCCTAGAACCGAGTGTTGCATGTATTCGATCAAAGCATCAAGTTACTGTGAACCACTTTGGTAGCCATTTGGTAAGTGGAACACAGTCTTATTTTTGTATGTTGTGGTTTTGGTGCTTTTGGAATCTGTAATTGATATGCCTTTCTTGGATGTGGATGCAGTCGTGTCTTGACCCGAGTCTTCCAACTGGTGGGATCAATGTTGTTGATTATGGTGCCCTTTCTCAGTTACTACATCCTACGCCTCCACAAACTGGGGTAAAGTTTCGTTTGTTTTTTTTGTTCATTATCGCTTTCTATAAACACACTCTTGACTTCATTGTATGTAATGTTTTGCTTGTTCACAGCCTAATTCAGCAGCTCTAAACCAGTTTGCCACTGGTTCCTCTTTGCCCACACCACCTAACCCAAGTGTTAGAGCACCAGCATCAAACCGGAGAGTACCAACTGGTTTTGAACTTGCTCAGTTACTACATCCTACGCCTCCACAAACTGGGGTAAAATTTTGTTTTTCTTTTGTTCATTATCTCTTCCTATAAACACACTCTTAAGATCATTGATGGAATATATTGCTTGTTGACAGCCTCATTCAGCAGCTCTAAACCAGTTTCTCCCACCAACTGGCACTGTTTCCGTTTCTCCCACACTACGTGGTTTCTCTGGATCGTGGCTTACAGGTTCTGGTTCTAGAGTTGCGGCACCTGATGTGAACCTAGCGGTAAACATCTTTTAGTCTTCTTTCTCACAGCCCATTCAATAAGTTTCGTTTTTTTTGTTCATTAAAACACTCTTAACATCATTCGTATGGAATGTTTACAGCCTAATTCAGCAGCTGAACACCAGTTTCTCCCTCCACCTGGCTTCACAGGCTCGGGGCTTCCAGGTTCTGTTTCTGGAGCAGCACCTCATGTGAACCTGACGGTAAACATGTTTTACTCTTGTTTCTTCTGAAATAGTTCGTTTTGATGTGTCTTCTATTTGTTCATGTGAACCTGACGGATCCACAACTAAACGCTGAGGCGCAGAATGTAGATGGAGTTAACCTTGTTCAAGAGCAAGAGCAGGAGCATCTTGGAGATGGAGATGGAGATGGAGACAGCCCAGAGAGAAAACGGAGAAGACAAGAGCAGGTTGGAGATGGTCTTGAGCAAGAGCAAGAGCAAGTTGGGGTTGGGGTTGGGGTTGGGGTTGGGGTTGGGGTTGGGGTTGGAGATGGAGATGGAGATGGAGATGGAGATGGAGATGGTGATCTCAATCTTGAGCTGACACTCGGCCCAGAGAAGTAACGGAGAAGACGATGATTTGAAGAAAGCGGACAGAAGTTGTGAAGAGTACACAAAAAAAAAAACTATGGGGATGTACTACTATATAGTATTAATGCTTTATTTTTTGCTTTTTAGAAGTTTTTGAAGTATAGTCTTAATGGATTTTAGAACTCCAAATTTTAGCTATATCAAATAGTTGGTTTTGTAAAAGTCATATACTGCAAATTTTAATGGAAAAAAAAAAATCGATTATGAGACGCTATATAATCTATTTGATTATCATGATTTCAGTATGGTTTATTTCCGTAATTGTCCGGTAGATTATGTACTGAATTTTCTTAGTGATAAAACAAGACTTCGTTTATTTAGCTTTTACCTTTTTAGCTTTAGCTCTTGGCTCAAGCCGAATATACCCTCCTCCCATTCTAATGGTTAGGTTAATTTAATATAAACTGAAATATCATAGAATTTAATTCACAATGTAATGATTCATTTTAATTCTATATTTCAGTTTTCAAGAGAAACTGCATTTACCTCGTTAATTTACGCTTTGTTGATGAAATCAAGGATGATTAGAATAAGTAATTGAAAATTTCGAAATTATATTTCTGTCATATAAACTCTATACAATATCTACAAGGAATAAAAATAAAAATAATGTGCATATTCGAAAGGATACTATTCCATCTAATTTTTACTATTCAAATAATTTATACAAGAGGCTAATCAATTTCAGAGTTATAAATGAGTTAATATTATTAGTATCGATATACATTCGAATTGAAAATATAAATGATTGTTATTTCATAAAAACACTGAAATTATTATTCTGATTTTTAATATTAGAAAAACAATTGTAATTAGTTTTCGTTTTATATTCACAATGAAAAAACATTTTGAGTCTGTCATGTGACCAGTATATCTTGACAAAATAGTCTAGTCACATACTACTAACATTCTAAACATATTTTGTCAGCATCTATGTCACATTTGACATGTTAGCCTTCTCCTATTAGCCAATCAAAACATTTTGTTGTCACTTAAGCGAAATAATACAAGTGTATGTATTGTTAATTTATTGTTTAACCGTTACAATATCTACAAGTCAACCAATCATAATTATCTCACAACTACATATGTTTTCAAACATTATATCATTCATACAAACCGGTTTATAACGCTCTTAATTGCAATCGCCTGCTTCATTAAACTTCAACAACTGCAGCCACAACGTTTGAATCAGTCAGCCTCTTCAAAATATTTCCTGTGGAAATCGATGGCAAAGGTTTCGGCGGTGGGT